GGGATCGGTTTGGGAGTGGCCTCGACAGGCTGAGTGTCTAGAGAGTAGATCGATGAGACACTCAACGTCGGCAGCTCACGCTCAACTTCGACGCGCTTCTCAATGATAACAGGCTCGACCACCGGGGTTGGCTTGGGACTGGCTGCGACAGGCTCGGTCTCCAAAGAGTAGATTGATGAGACGGCGAGCTCCCGAGTCTCAGTATTGGTGCCATGTTCAGCAAGAGTAGCCACTGGCGCGGGCTCAGGGAGGGCTGCCACGATAGGCGGGGTATGTTGGAAAGAGATTGTCGACACCGCCACATTGGGAACGTATACTGGTGCAGGCTGAGGGAGGCTCGCAGTGACCGGCTCAGTGTAAGCAGAGGAGATCAACGACAAGGCTACATCTGGTGGAGCAGGAACGACGGAGGCAATCGGTTCGGTCGTAACTCCAACAGCATATGCAGTATTCAACTGGGGGTGTCTGGGCGGAGATGGAATGGTTTCCTGAGCAGCTACAGAAGAAAATTCCAAGTTCAATTGAGTGGAAGGTTGTTGCACTTCTCGTTGAGTCTCGGCGACAACAGCCTCCGATGCAGGAAGATTCCATTGAGTTGAGGCGTGCACCACTTCCGGTGCCTGCTCTTGCTCCGTCGCAGTGCCAGCATCAGACATGGTTGGCTTCGAGGGCAATACGTGTTCACCATTGACTGTCTCCTCACTGAGAGGGACAGCAGTGACTGCAGCAGGAACGGCGGGCTCCCACGGCTCCGTCATCATACCAGCATCAACCATAACAGGTTCGGGAACTGTGTCAAGCACAGCTTCCGAGGGACGTCTTGAATCATAAGCTGGGAGCATACGCGGGGTCGAGGCCTGAGATGCCGTGTCAAACCGCATCGGGGGTCCAAAGTCACCCTCTTGGTCATCATCGCCATCCAAGTCGGCAAGCTCCATGAAGAGACTCTGCCCTTCGGTGCTTTCTGGACTTTGCATGAAGCTCGTGGCAGGCGATTCGCGGGCGGTAGAGGGCCTGCTGTTCGAAGCCATCGGAGCCTCGCCAGAGGGACGGATCCTCCTGACGATGCTTCTCTTGTTCCTCACCCTGTACCTAGGGCTGACTTGACTGGGTGACGGGAAGCCTTCTTCGTCAATTGCATCCTCGTCGCTGGAGTTGGAAGCCGTGCTCTCGTAAGCTTTCCGGTCGCGAGTCTTGGTCATCGTGAAAGACGACACTCGTCCGCGCGGAGTCCTCTGCAGCCTATTGTCAGTCTCGGTGAGCTCTCCGCTGTCCGTGCTATCATCAGCCATGCTCTCAAGACCAGTCTGGAAAGCTTCACTCTCCGTGGCTGTTCCTCGTTCCGTGGCTGTCTCGAAATTGTCATCGGCTTCGGTGGCGGTCTGGTAAGCATCACTCGGTTCTTCGGACGACGGTCCTCCCATGCGGGCCCGGGAGGCTTTCAAAGTGGCTTTATGGGAGGGGCTGGCGTCAGTAGCATTGTCTTCCCAGTCCGATTCATGGATCTCGATCTCCGCTCTCTTTCGCCCGGCACCCAGTAGGTCAGGCCGTGCGGCCTTACGGGCAGGGTCGGGCTTGGTCTTCTGGCGTTTGCTGGAAGGACCGGTTGGTGCGACAGCTTCACGGCGCTTTTGCTCGATCTCATCGCGGGCTTCCTGCAGCATACGCTTCAGGTCGATCTTTTCGGTCTTTTCACGATGGATAGTGCTCTTGAGGTTCTGGATCATGCGGTGAGCATGACCGAGCGAACTCTTCAACGTCTCCGTTTCGAGATGGTTGTGACGCGGGGTGAATCTGTTCGGAGACGGTGGCGGGGAGTTTTCGGGCGTCGACTGATCTTGGTCGTCGGAGTCTTGATCGCGATGGACTTCACGAGAAAGCTCATGTTCTTGCTGGCGAAGGCGCATGGCCACCGCCTTGGCGAGTTCCTCGTTTTGAGAGTTCAGTTCCTCGACTTTCTTTTGCAGGGCGAGTTTCTCAGTATCACCAGCATGAAGGTTGCGACGGAGAAGGTGAATCTCGGCATCGTTAGCTTTCTGAGCAGCGGTGTGGTCCTCGACCAACTTCGCGTTCGCATGTCTCAGATCCTCGAGCTCCCGTTCCATGGCGCTCTTCTCGGTAGCCAACGCCCCCAGGCTGCTGTTCAGCCTGCTTTCACGATCAGCCGCTTCCTTGGCTGCGGTCAACAACTCATGGGTCCGAGTCTCCAAAGCCCAATTTTCATCCTTGTAGCGCTCTTCGCTCTCGTCCAGCACCCTGATTCGTTGGGCATACCCCTCGGCCTCGAGTTCGAGTCGCGACTTCTCAAGGTTCACAGCCTTGAGTGCCTCCTCCCGCTCGGCGAGGAGAGTCTGCAATTGACGCACCTGAGCAAGCAGGGAGGTGGAAATCTCGGTAGCGAATTCGATGTCATGGACACGGTTTGAGGGCTGGTTGCGCTGCTTTCGTGACGGAACGCTGACCTTGCTAGGGGAGTTGGTGGCCTGACCGGCAAACAGTGCGGAGCTAATAGGTGACTACAGGTACAGTCATTAGCGACATGCAAGCTGCACTTGCTCATGATGCCTTACCTTTTGCTCGTACGGAGTCCCAAGGTGGCCATCTTCGCCGCTAGCCAAACGCTTGGGAGCGAGGAATGCGCGAGCCGATTCCCGGCCGATTTCATTGTATTCTCTCTCCAGATCCGCCAGCTTGCGCCGGAGGTCCGGACCAATCTGGCCCTCGTCCTGCTGTTGTTCCACTTCTCGCAGCTTTTCCTCGAGTTGCCGCTGCTGTTCAATCAGTGTCGTGCCCAGCTTACCGGCCTCTTCGAGTCGACGCTCAGTTTCCGCCAGATGGGCCTCGAGCGCCCGTTTGGCTTGAGCGGGAGAAGACGCATTCAGGCTGAACAATTGCGTGTCAAAGGACGAATACTTGTGCGAGTCGCGAGAAGCGGTTCTCTCCCCGGAGGGAGAGACGAAAGGATCTTCAGCCGTAGACATGGTGGCAGGAGCTCGTTATTTTATCATGCGTGGGAGCAGCGTCGCCGTTCGAATGCGAGACAAAAAAATCGCGGGAGTCAGTCAGTCCGAGGGATGCGCCGCAGTCGCGGTCTGTTGTCTCGAGAAAAGACACAGGTGCCGTAGGGATTCCGCGTAACTCGTCGCCTCGGTATTCGTATCTTCGTATCAATTCCCAATCATCCTCCGACAGGCGAGTGGGGTTCCGTGGGCTCGTTGCGGTCGAATTCCTTCACTATGAGTATTATTTACTGAGCCGACCAGCGACCTGGATTTTCGCAAATACCGTGGCTTCGAACTGAACGCGGCGGGAGCCTGGCACAAGGGATGCGCGCGATCGGTCGGCAATTCAACGCAGCGATCGCGTCTGTAGGCGACTGGAGAGACTCCGCGGGAATCGGGATTTCTGACCAAGCTGGCGGGTTGAGATCGCAGCTAGACGTGGTTTCGAGCGGGTGAATCGAGGTGCGACCGAGAATGCGTTATCACTACAGGAACGGACAACGAACGCGTTGAAGACGCAGGGTGACCTCGTTGTACGTCGAAGCAGGGTGTGGGCCAACCAGATAGCCACGTTCGAATGCTCAGCCTTCGGAAGTAGGCAGCAGGTAATGCAGTGAATTGATGGTCTTGAGGCGCAACAAGCAAGGCTCGAGAGGCGCAACAAAACGAAGGCAGTGCGCGATGAAAGACGGGAGTGGGCGGGTGCGATGAACGGCCACCTAGTGCAGCATTCAAGCGATAAGATTAGGAACAATTCAATTAAAGGAACGAAAGGAAATATAAGGAAGGACTAGAGTGGTGATTAGATTGCAAAAAGAAAAAAGAGATGCTAAAGAAAAGAAAAGAAAAGAAGAAGATGTTTGAGTGGGAAAGGAAGAATGAGGGAGTGATTTCAAAGGCAGTGCCGGAGAGGGGTGGACAACAAGACGGGTAGAGAGACTCGACTCGTTGGGCGGGGAAGACACACACACTCTCTCTCACACACACACACACACGGGAAAGGAAGGGGAAGGAAGAGGAGAGGAGAGGAGGAGAGCGAGGAGAGCGAGGGAGGAGCAGGGAAACTAAAGGAGTAAAGTGACGGGCAGGGGGAGAGTGAGAGGCCTCAGGTACCTATCGATTGATTCGAGTCATTCAGGTATACCCACCAGTTAGCACCAATTAGTTAAGGGTCCCAGGAACGGTAATGGTCTGGCTAATAAATCAGATAATTGGTCTGATACGTAATATTATAATTTAAATCGGGGGACCCAAAAGAAAGAGAAAGGAAGGGGAAGAGGGACGATCTACTGCCGGGTTCACGGATTGTTATCTACTACAGGTGTCAGGGGCAACCTTGGAACCAAAGCAGGACTACAAATAGGTTATTTTGATGTCAACAGTCGGCATCAACAACAATCCATGAATGGTCAATCAATGCTGGCTCGGAATCCTTGACTGACAATTTGCCGTTGCCCAGAAGGAGAAGTGGTGGTGGTGGCGGCCCCCCTGGTTTGTTGGGTTTGCACTTGGCAGCCATGAATCCAATGCATGTGATCTCACCTGACTGCGGTCCGGGATGTCACGTGGTTTGGTCGGGACCCCAGTCGCCAGCCATGGCTGTACTGTACGGCACTGTACTGCACAGTCCAGTGCATACGTCACTCGGCAGGGACACATCATCAAGCTGACCCGTATATGCGGATCTTCTATTAAAAGTCATGATTAGTGGCTGTACGATATCATAATTCTACCCAGAAGTAATCAGTGACACCATCTGAGAGGCGTTATATATCTGGTCTCACCGCCAGCCAGCATCAACAACCCTCGACTTCGCCCCAATGATGTCTTATCTTTCCTCTTAGAGATGCTCATCTTGGACCTTGCATAAAAACTCGTACGGATATCATAAGCATAGCATACAATTCTGTTTGCTCAGCATCAAATATGCTGACATGGATATCAGACTCAGGCCCCGGAGATGTGCAACGCTAAGGCGGTAGACGGGTGCCAAGCTTTCCTGTCCAATGGCTAACCCATGGGAGTGGTTGGTTCCCTTCGTTATTATTGTTACCCCTGAACTGCTGTCGCACTAGACAGAATTGGCATTACTTCTCCTCTGATGATGTCATTTGATCGATCCCGCTGGGCGGGCGTAGACAGAATGATTCGTGACGGGTGTTCTTCATATAAGTCAAGGATGCCGCTGGCACTCTAGTGGGATACAGGCCATGCAGAAGCTCCGGTAACAGCTTAGCATGCTCCATACAAAAGGGTGTGATTGCCTTGATCGGTAGATGAGACATATTACTTCGTCGCGAGATGTTGCGGTAAGCATGATCGGCGTTTCCAGATTTGACCTGTCCTACTTGACAGTGTAGTAATTTACATGAGAGCCTCTTCTCGCCACCAGTTGAGGGCATGTCTACAACCACTATTCCAAGATCACGCCCTGCCCATCTGACTTCAAGACTCCAGGAATTGCACCACGCGATCAATAAGATCCGCCTTCTTCCCCACACCGGAACGTCCGTGGGACGTAAGAAAATCCTTAAGGATGTTGACCGTAAGCTGTATCGAATGTTAGTCTAGCAATGCACCGAATGGCGATTCGTCATCCTTACCCTGGACAGGTTCCCCTTCTGGTAATGTCTTCGCACTTCATCCTCGAGGTTGTTATCCGCTTCCACCTTGACCCTTTTAGCTGGCTTGCTGGATTCCTCGTCATTGTCGGGGCCCTTGTCCCTGGCTCCTCTCTTGACAACGGTGCTGTGGGCGGGTTTCTCGACCGCGACCTTGGCGTACTGCTTCTCGAGCTCGTCGGCCCATGACAAGACATAATCCCCGGCGCGCTGACAATGGTCATCAGTAACAGTCATGACATCATGCGCGGAGATGCCTACCTTGTCAATCTGTCGATATTTCGGCACGGTTTTGTCTTCGGGTTTCTCGGGAAGATCTTCGTCCAGAGCCAATGCTTGAAGGATGCGATAGTGCCATTGTAATGCTACAACAGATCAGTGTGTGATGTATCCAAGTGAAGATGTGAGCAACCTACAAGGATTAGGGTATTTTGAAGGTTCGTAGCAGGCCTTGGGAAGCTGCAACTGTTGAATGATAACACGCATCTGATCGATCAACGGTTCTGGGGCCACATTGAGGGTAGTCTCCGGGTTCTGGCGAACATCGTCGGCGTACGGCAGTGGCAAGATCCACATGCCGGGCGGATACTTTTGCACGCCGTTCTCATCGACCTTTTCTTCTCCGGCAATCATGGCCCCAAGGACCGGGTTTGCAGCCCGACGTGGGATGAACCAGACGAGGGCCAACTTCTTCTGCCGCAAAAGCGTCTGATGCAACGCAGAAAACACACGGGTCGAGCCCACATAATCCTCTTCTGACGGATAGATAAAATAAGGATGTTTCATGTTCGCCCAGAAGGGAAGCGCAGAGGCCGGCTTGAAGCCTATGATGCGGATGACAGGGTCACCAAAATTCTTGAGTTCCTTCTGCTCCTCGGGGGTGAAGAGGACCTGATCGCCGCCAAATTTGTAGGCCTTCCTAATCTCCCATTTCTCCACCGTGCGCGCCGTGTCATCGGCAATTTGGGTGGTGGTTCCTTTGACGATTTCGGGCTTCTCCCCGCCAAGCCAGACATAGCAATTTCGCGCGGGCGCTTGCTTTCTGAAGAGGATATAGCCCGAGACGGAGATCTTGAGGTTGGGGCCAAACTCGAGCGGCATGTTAGAGAAATGCGTCCGCCGAGGAACGGATCTGGAGTTGACACTGGACAGTAGGGTATTGAGGAGTGAAATCCCATCACCAGTCGCCGTAGAGGCTTTGGAATCAAGCTGCAAATACGCAGGGGCCTCCGGGTCATTGGGAGAGGTCTTGTAAATGATATCCTTCCCAACCGGTTAGTACATCACAGGCACCGCATGGGAAAAGATCTTACGTCATAGAATTTGGAGCTGTCAAACTCGCGGTCCGGCTGGGAGATCGGAAAGAGCTCGATGGTGACACCGAGGTCATACAGATCCTTGGCTCGTACCGTTGCGGCGGACCGTAGGGCTTTGTCCTCGCTGTGGGGATTGTCGTTGTCGGTGACTATGAACAATCGGCGCGAGAGAAAGTTGGGCGCTTTTGACGTGAATATTTGGTTGGCACAGAATAGAACATTCGCCATCGACACGGGCTTCTCTGCCGGCACAAGAATTTCTCTAGCCTTTCCTTCATCTTCCACCAGTGCTCGAAGGTCTTTGACCTCCTGTGCAGACGGGATGTCGAGGTCTGTGAAGAGGTAGCAGTTAGGGTACGACAAGTCGCCTCGGCTGCCCTCGTCTTCATCGTAGAACTTGGACGCCTGCGTCCCGTAGAGAAGAACTCCCATCATGTCTTGGGGATTGGAAATAATGCGTTGTTGCATCAAATGGTATGCGCATTTCAAGGCTGCCGTGGCCGGCGATTCTTCGACGGGTTTCTTGGGGTCGGAAGATGGGCGAGGCTTGAGCATCGAGTCGCTGACTTCGATAGCGAAGAGCACGGCATCTTTCACAGTTTTGTAGTTCTAGGTTTCATCAGCCTTGGTTTTGGTGTGAGATTCGGAGCCAGAATTATGTACAGTCTCATCGATCTCCTCCTCTTCCTCCTCGCCTACTTCATCGTCTCGGGGTGGGTTACTGTCGGCCATGATTGAATGTGTTTAGAGTGAATTATTGATTGAAAGGGGAGAGAAGGGAAGAGTGAAGGGAATCTATTTCATGTTTAACGTGGGAAAGTGTACGGTATCTGCCTGGGTGGTTTGCTGCCTGGACCATTTCGGGAAGCCTTCAAGTTCCACTCACTCACTCACTCACTGAATGAATGAATGCAATGGTCGCGATGACGCGTGTGAGTGGGACGCGGGGAAGACACGAACATCATGTGACCTCGCCGAGACTTGATGACCCTCGCCTGCCTGTGATTGGTCGCCCTCAGCGTCTGGTCCGTCATCCGCCTGTTCTGGGCTTTTCCGGCCGGTCTTCCCAGTTCCCAGTTGTTCCACTGCCCAAATACCGTTCCATGCCATCTGTCCTTGCCACTGACTACTGTTTCTGTCCTGATTCTTCAATCGCGATCGGCCTGAGCTCTACTCTATTAATTCCCTTCTTCTGTTCATCTCCGATCGCAATACTGCCTCCAAGGCAGTAACACAGCACACCGTCATGGCTCTTCGCCGCCCGTTCACTCTTCCCCGGCAATTGCTGCGACCGGTAACTCGCGCCTCGTTCAACTACTTCTACGAACAGAGACAGGGTCTCGCAACAGCAGTACCGCCAGTGACTCAGGATGCGACCGGCTCCAAGGGCCCCACGGCCATGGTTTTTCTCAACATGGGAGGACCTTCGACAACGGGCGAAGTGGAGGACTTTCTCAGCCGGTTATTCGTACGTCTCAGAGGAAATTGAGCTCTCCTTGCACCCCCACTGATAATCTAACCCTTTACACAACAGGCCGACGGCGACTTGATCCCCCTGGGTCGACTGCAATCATACCTCGGACCCCTGATCGCGAAGCGAAGAACCCCCAAGATCCAAAAGCAGTACGCGGAGATCGGCGGCGGCTCGCCGATCAGGAAGTGGTCGGAATACCAGTGTGAGGAGATGTGCAAGCTGCTGGACAAGATCAACCCGGAGACCGCGCCGCACAAGCCATATGTGGCGTTCCGCTACGCCGCACCCCTGACCGAGACGATGTATGCGCAGTTGCTACAGGACGGATTCGGCAACGGACGAGGTGGACGGGCCGTTGCCTTCTCGCAGTACCCGCAGTACTCCTGCTCTACGACCGGGAGCTCGCTGAACGAGCTGTGGAAGTGGAGGAACCGCTTGGAGGGACCGCGGGCCAACGGCGACGCGCAGCCCGCCGGTGCGATTGAGTGGAGCGTCATCGACCGGTGGCCCACGCACCCGGGTCTGGTCGAGGCCTTCGCGAGGAACATCGAGGATCAGTTGAAGACCTATCCGGAGGACAAGCGGGACGGTGTCGTGCTCTTGTTCTCGGCCCACAGTCTGCCCATGAGCGTTGTCAACAGAGGTAGGTCGATGGGCTCACCGACTTGTCCCTTCTACTGCTGACTATGTTATTTCCTACCAGGTGACCCTTACCCGGCAGAGGTTGCGGCCACTGTCCATGCAGTGATGCAGCGACTGAAGTTCAGCAACCCTTACAGACTGTGCTGGCAATCTCAGGTCGGACCGAAGGCTTGGCTGGGCGCACAGACAAGTGACACGGTCCAGGAATACGTCAAGCGGGGGCAGACGGACATCGTTCTGGTTCCGATTGCGTTCACTAGCGACCATATTGAGACTCTCTACGAGCTGGATCTCGAAGTGATGGAGGAGGCGAACCACCCGGGGGTCAAGCGGGCGGAGAGTCTGAACGGGAGCCCGACCTTCATCCAAGCCCTGGCGGACGTTGCACAGGAGCATCTACGCAAGGGGGAGAAATGTTCGCTGCAGATGACTCTGCGTTGCCAGGGCTGCAAGAGTGAGCGATGCTTGGAACAGAAGAAGTTCTTTGCTGGTGAACGTGGTTCTTCGTTGGTTCTCTAATTGCACGGTGCTCCGGATGGCAGGCAGGCGTTTAATTTCTACTCTCATGTTGTTTAAAATGTATTGGATAGAAGAAGTTCAAAGTTCAGCCTTGTGTATGTCTTGGCTTGGAGGTTGTGTACATTAAAGCCAGTCGGAGAGTCGGAGCTCCGAGGCCGTTATCAGTTTAACCGTTCAACTGGTCTTCCAAGGTTTCCAACCTTGTTCTTATCACCGAACCGCCGATGCGTTCCTCCTCTTCCTTGCTTGCCCATCCTTCGGGTGGCTGAAGTCTCCCAAACCTGAAACAACAAGTGGCTAGCTCAATGCAAGCCATTGTTAATCAATCACGTCACTACTTTTCTGGAAAGAAAAGAGGGCTCCTCATTCTATCTCCGGTTGATTGATAAGCAAGTCGAGCCGTGCCGATTGCAGGTCCAGTCCGCCCTCGTTCTCCTTCTTTGCATCCAAGACACCACTACGGATACTGTACAGTACACTGGGACCTATCCCCATGTAATTTCACCCGCGCAAACTATTTTCTACCGCGCTCTCCAAAATGGTGGGCCTCACACCAACGACCAGAAGGGATGCGCCTCCAGACGATATTGACGCAGGGTTGCGCGCTCGACCGAACGCCTCAGCTCACGACGACCGCGAAGCTTCAGACCATCACATCCACGAACAAACGCCATTACTCGGAGCATCATCTCAATCCTCCGACACCGCGAGCCTCCCACCGCCAGACCACGACATCGACAACGAGGACGAAAGCCCCAGACACAAATGGAGGAAGTCGAGCGTGAGTAGCCCCCCTTCCCCCATCACACCCTGGCGCGCATTCTAACAACCTCCAACCGGCAGGTCTTCTGGCTCTTCCCGTTCCTGATCCTCTACATGGTAGGATTCGGAGGCACAGCGGTACCGAAGATCAACCTGATGGTGACGCTGATCTGCAAGGACTACATGGCGAAGAAAGCGAGCTCGGAGCCGGGGTTCACGTACCTACCGGTGATCCTGGGGAGCGAGCGAAACACGCAGTGCCAGATCCCCGAGGTGCAGGCGCAGGTAGCGCAGTTCCAGCTGTACTACCACCTGGTAGCGGGGGTGCTCTCGGCGGTGGTGTGTCCCCGGCTGGGGCATCTCTCGGACCGACGGGGACGGACGAGGGTGATCGCGCTGAGCGGGCTGGCGACGGTCGTGGCGGAGGGGATCACGATCTGGGTGGCGGCGCGGGCGGAGACGATGTCGGTGTGGGTGCTGCTGGGGGCGGCGTTCGTGGACGGGCTGGGGGGCTCGTTCACGACGATCATGGCGTTGACGGCGTCGTACGCGTCGGACAGCACGGCGGCGGCGCAACGCAGCGTGGCATTCGGGTATCTGTACGGGGCGCTGTTCTCGGGGCTGGCGGCGGGCCCGCTGCTGGCGGCGATGGTGATCCAGCGGACGGGACAGGTGCTGGACGTGTTCACGGCGTCGCTGGGCCTGCACCTGCTGTTCCTGCTGTGTATGCTGTTTGTCGTGCCGGAGTCGCTCTCCCCCGCACGCCAGGCCGTCTTCCGCGACCGCCACCACAAACTCCAGGCCGAGCGTGGTGCCGCGCACTCGTCGCTCCTCCGCCCCTCATGGCAGTCCCTGCACCCGAAACACCTCATCACCCCGCTGGCCGTGCTCCTCCCGCCCGTCGGACGACCTAGCGCGCTCTTCCCGCACGGCACGGGCGCGACGCCGGCCCTCCGCCGCAACATCATCCTGCTGACCTCGCTCGACACGCTCGCCTTCGGCGTCGCCCTCGGCACGGCACAGGTACTGATCATGTACGCGGAGTTCAAATTCGGCTGGGGCAACGTGGAGTCCAGCCTATTTATCTCGACAGTCAGCGTGATCCGCGTGCTGAACCTGTTCGTGCTGTACCCGCTGATCCAGCGCAACGCCCAGGGCCAACAATCCCCCCCCTCAACCCGAAAGATCCCCGGCTCCCCACTCAAAGAAATCACCCTAATCCGCCTAAGCCTCCTCCTCGACGCGCTCGGAAACCTCGGCTTCGCGCTCGCGCCCAACGGGACGATGATGACACTGTCGGGGATAGTCATGGCACTAGGCGGGATGGGGGTCCCGACGCTGCAGAGCGCATTGACGAAGCACGTACCCCGCGAAGGACTGGGGCAGATCCTGGGGGCCAAGGGCCTGTTGCATGCGTTGGCGCGGATCATCGCGCCGACGGTGTGTAGTCTGATCTACAGTTTGACGGTGGGGAGGTTCCCCGCGGCGATCTTTGTGTGTTTGGTCGGGTTGTTTGCCCTCGCTTTTGGGGCGAGTTGGGCGGTCAGGCCTTTTGGTATGTCTCCTTCTTTTTTTTTTTTTTTTTTTTTTTCAAATCTTATGGGGGTATTGTGGGGGGAAACGGGGAAAGGGGGCGTTGGGTGATGACAATGCTAATGTGTGCTTTTATAGTCGGGTTGGATGATTCGCCTATTCGGGAGACTGCGTCTGTTTCTTCGACTGAGGAAGAAGGGGCTGAGGGCGTGCGGTTGGCGGAGGAGCCCGTTCTTCCTTAACTATCGACCATCTAAGATAGGGATTACCGGTCTGGTTTGGTACTCGGGCAGGTAAGTCGCGAGTCCCGTTCGATCTACATCATTTATATCACCTATGTATACGTAATGTCGGTGCTATATACCCCAAACAAACAAGACAAGTAAAGCGTGACCACATCTATTATGCACATGCTGTCTGTTCCCATCATGCAAGGACTGACCAAACAAGCAAGAAAGATTAAAGTATCGTATATACCACCCGTCCACCAATCGCAAACCATATGTAAGAGAGAGAAGGTATCGAAGCCCACAAAAGCAGAATTATTATACAAGTCGTAAACAAATCACAGAGATATTAACAGAAGGCTTCAGTAAGCATGTAGGGGAAAATCACCACGCACGCCGTCCAGAACACCATGACACATTGCCAGAGCACTAGCGGGAGTTTGTACAGCGGGGACTCGACGAGCAGCAGCCACAGAGACAGGAACGCCACCGAGAAGAAATGCCCGAACAGCACGGCGGGTTTCTTGGTCAGGCCGGCGAGCAGGCTCACAGGGCCCGAGGTCATGCCGAGCTGGAAGTAGCGGAAGCAGCCGCGTTGGAGGGCGCGGAGGTTCTCGTCTGATATCGGGAAGTTAGCTATGAAAAAACATGATCCAGTCGAGGGACGGGACAAGGGGAGCCAACCGTTAGCAGCAAAAAGACTGTAGAGCGCCATCGCGAGGATGTTGATGACGGAGGAGCCGTTCTTGCGTTGCCAGTGGAACGACGACAGCTGGCGTAGGACCTTGTCGGTGTCGCTGAAGCTGGGCACCTTCTCGGGACTCAGCAGCCCGCGGAGCACCACGACATCGTTGAACGCGACGGTCATACCACCTCCGGTCAAGGGATGGCGCATGTTGAGGGCATCGCCCAGGATGACCAGACCGGCGGTCTGATTGCGCGCACTCGGAAGGTACGAGTTGGGCATGGACCGCAGCTGGCCCTTCTCGAGCGCAGCGATGAACGCGGGCTGGACGGACTCCGGCAGCGAGGGCAGGACAACGTTGCGCATGTGGGCCTTGACGCCGCCGTTCTTGACCGAGGCCGACGGGAGGTTCTCGGGGATGTCGATCAGGATGCGGGTCTCATGGGTGCCGATCTGGTAGATGAGGATTGGAGCGTTGTCGCTGAGGAGCACATGGCCGTAGTACGGCTTGGGCATGACGGGGTCGATCATCTCCAGCCCCCAGAACCGTGACCGCACCTCGGGGGTGCGGGTGTGGTGTTGCTTGCGGAACTTGGAGGCATAGCCGTCCGCCACGACGGTGAGGTGGCCGAAGTAGCAGTCCTTCATGTCCTTGGTCACGCACTCGACCCCAAGAACCTGCTTGGTGTGCGAGCATGTAATCAGGTCCGTAGCCTTGGTCTCGACCACCGTGACGTTGGGACACGCCATCGCCGCCGCGCGGAGCTTCATCACGAACCGGCCGTGGTGGAAGCAGCGGCCTTGTGGGGGCGGTTGTGTCGGGGATGGCTTGGGGTATGGGATCTCCACGGGCTGGCCAAAATATGTGATATAGTATCCCTCCACGGGAATTGCGTCGATGTCCTCCAGACAGTCGGCGAGTCCGAGCTGCTCAAGGGCCTGGACACCACCCGGTTGTAGCAGCTCTCCCACAATGCGATCGGGCTCCTTCAGCGAGCTCTCCAAGAGTAGCACACTCCGGCCTTGTCTCCCCAGTGTCACGGCTAGAGCGCAGCCCAGGATGCCAGCACCTACGATCACGACATCTGCGTGGTGGTGGATTTGGCGGCGTTGTTTGGCCGCATCAGCGGAGGGGGTGGCGTGGCCGTTGGCGACGGCGACGGCCATTGTGCGATAGAAAGATGGTGAAAGCGGTCAAAATCGGCGAGGTGAGGTAGATCGGGGAAGGGCGCAGGGCATATTTCGTCTTCGACACTGGAGAGAGAGAGAGAGAGAGAGAGGAGGAAGGAGGAAGAGGATGGCTGGGAATAAAGTGTGAAAGGGGGGGGAGAGGGAAAGTAAAAGTGCGGGCGGAGAGAAAGAAGGCTCAATACAGACAGACACAGACAGAGAGAGACCGAGAGAGATTCTGGCCAACAAAAGAAAGAGAGAGAGTGGCGTGACAACCCTGACATGTGAAAAAGAACCAAGCGGATGCCACACTATTCCCAATCCAGTAATTCCAGGCACCGTACGATTCTTCTTCCTTTTACTCTCTCTCTCTCGGCTTCAATGCTTTCAACATCGACTCATCATCAGGTGAATTAATTTCAATCCCAAACTCAAAATCAATTGAACTACAGGATGAGAAGCGAGTTTTTCTTACTACTTCCCCAATCCAAATCAGTGACTCTTACTACACAACCACTCATACATTGATTGCTAGCATACAATACACAAACAACACAATAAATCGACCCCAAAGACCTAACTTACGATATATACAGACAAACTAGACTAGACTCAGAATGAGACTCCCCTACCCCAGTAATAAAAACAAAGTAGAGAAGGCGGAAAGTACAAACAAACAAAGAGTATCAATGACGGGTCAAACGCAATGCCGGGAATCACGCAGCAGTCGGGATTTCCTCCGCCAACTCCTGGGCCAGATAATGCTCCTCAGTGAGCTGGGCAACGGTACTCGTGGGAACACCTTCGAGTCGACCCAAGGCGGCTTCCAATTCATATTCCTCATCCCACTGCGGGACCGTTCGCTCCACATTCTCAATTACGTAGATTCTGTCCGCGTTCAGGGGACGCTTCAGCAGTTCTCGCTTGTTCTTCTTATAAGAAGGGTTGTGGTGCACATCCCACGTCGTTCCCTCACCGCTCTGGAACTTCTGCATCACCAGGTTGGCAAGATGAGTGATGTATTCCTCGCGCTCGAGAAGATAGTGGTATTTCTCGAGATGGCTATCCGAGTGATGCCGCAGCCGACCCATGAATGAACGCAATTCGATGAGGAAATCCTCGTGGACCTCGCGCCAGGTTAAGGCAGTCAGGAGGCACCACCGGACACCGAGAGGGTTGTCGGTATTCGCAAACGCTCGCAGGAACATCTTCAAGCAGACCCCATCGAAAGGAATGATCTTTCGGTACTTGGACGCGTAGACCGTGGAGAGAAGCTCAAGGGCCAGCTTTGGGTCGTCCTGGGTGATCACGCGTCGGCAGACAGATACAAGTAGATGATGTTTGGGTGTAAGATTTGGCCGTTCCGTGCAGATATCATACCACCGAAGAACCGCAATCTTGATGTGTTCGCCAGTGGCTTGCGTGTCGATCTCGTTCACCACACGGAAGAATTGAGGGAGGAACCGGGTCAGAGCGCGGATATTTCCCCAATCCTCCTCGATCAGCGCCCGGGCGGGTTCGATGCCTTTCTCGAGGATGGTTGAAATCACAGCCAGCTCCACGTGCACCTGCTTGAGCTGGAAGCGGGCGCGCTTGGCATCCTCGTAGCTTCTCAGAGCGCTCAAAAATTTTCCGCTATGCATTCCATGCGACATCTGCCGGTCCAGTTTCTGATATTGATGTACCCGCTTCGACGGCAGCGTTTCTTGTTTCATCCGCTTGAAGAAAGGCAGGGAGTCCTCGGTGAACGGCATCCTGTTGACTTCGGGGCTGGGAAACGAGTGCTTGTCGTACCCGAGAATGCGCTGTGAGGCTTGAGACTGGCCGTGCTTCACCCGCGCAGCTTGTAGCATCTGCCAAAACCCGATGGGTGACTCCTCGAGAGCGTGGCGTCGGGCTCGCAGCATTTCCAGGAACTCGTACTCGTTCAAGTGTTTCGGCCAATGGTTGTCCTTGGCATACCGCAGAAACTCGTAGACCATCTCCCGATCACCCTTCATCACCAATGCCTCGATCATGTGTCTGTACAAAACCCGATCGGGAACCATATTGTACTCATCCAGGGAGCGATATATGAAATCTTTGATTTCCCGACCGTTGTGTGTCGGCCAGAACTCTAGGAAGATGCGGTCAAAGATGGGAATGAAGTCGGCCTTTCTCGTCAGCGGTAAGCCCTCTTTGAGCATCTCCTTGAGGCCGGCGTGAACGGCATCCCAATCACACTGGAACGCCTTTCCCAGGACCAAGAGCCCTTTCGTCCGACAGCCAGGGAAAGCTCCATAGTCGATCATTTCTTTCGCCAGGGCTTCGGCATCGGCGAGGCGGCCGAATTCAACATAAGCCTTGATGACCGGATTGAATAATTTGTCGGTGGCCCTCTTCTGCAGGCGGCCCAGGACCTGTAACAGCTTCCGCAGTTGACTATTCATCAGCTCTATACTCCTTGTCTTCCTCCATAGCCCGGTAAGGTAGGCTCCGCACAAGCCACAGCCACGATCGTGCTGGATGTTCCTGAGGAGGAGCCATTTGGCCGTCGTCAATCTCTGAGACTCGACCAGGCATCGGAGAACGATATCGAGCATATCGGGGCTGGCTGTGAAATCGTGCATGAACCGCGAGTAGATAGCAGCCGTAGACTCAATATGACCCTTCGCTGCCAGCTTGAGGATCACGGTCTTCCACATGTCAAAGTCCACCTGGTGCACATCCTCGAGTCGCTCAAACACATTGCGAGCCAGCAGAACATTGCCCGCGGTGCAGTTAGCATAGAACACCCTTTTAGCGAGCTCACGGCGGTCCTCAGGCAATGTGAGAAGCGACGAGGGATGGTTGTCGAGAAAGACCTGAGCCGCCTCGATCGGATACTCAAATTCCAAAAGCCTCTCCATCTGCTCCGTAACTGGCAAATCCACCAAGTTCCCCAGAGGAGAGTCCCCGTACTTCACAAAGCGGTCGGTAACGGCGGGCGCGGCTTCGGAAGCGTTCTCAGTTGCTTCCCCGGAGGCGGTTGCCGGTTCTGTTTGACTCTGAGAAGCGAAGCCGCCAAGCCCGGCGCTCTGCTGCTGCTGGGGATTCAGAGGACCCGGCCTTGTAGCTCTTAACAACTTCTCGGCCTGAGATAGTCTGACATCAGGAAGGTTGAGGTACATCTCCGGCAAAGCGGATCCGCCGTCTGGCTTCCCTTCCGGTGCTTGTGCCTTCGAGGACTGCTGCGGTTGGTTGTTATCCTTCATGGAGGCCAGGCCGTCGAACTCGCCCGCCTCAGCGGCGGCCATCATGCGTGCGAGCCGTTTCGCCGCCGACGTGGCATCGTAGTGGGGGGCAGAGGTTTGGAGGGTTCGCTTGTTCTCGACAATCCGTTCCGCCACGCTGACGCGGCGATGCACGTCGTAAGTAATGGCGGCGAGGGTACAGAAGCTGCCGACAGTAGACCCTGCGAGAGCCAATCTGCGAAGGACGCGAAGGGCATTGCGCGAGGGGACGGCCGGCGTAGTGCCGTGGGCTGTTGGTTCGGGAATCATGGTGGTATGATTCAGGACATCCCAGACCCAAGGGGAGAGGACTGAAGGTTTCTATACCATCCGAGAATCGAGCAAATGTCTATGAAATGAATGTAGCGGAAAAAAAGTCTGAGAGTAAGAGATGAGGCGGGCCCCGAGGCCAACAATTGGGGTTGGGGATGGAGGGGGATTTGATGAATGAGTGTCAAGGCGAGAGAGGTGCAGACAAATCTTTTGCAGAAAGTTTGCAAACTGGGTGGTGGTTTGCAAGGTTGGTCCCTCTCGTCCGCCGCAGTCCAGACAACCACCCACTTCGTCCGGCCGATCTCCAAATGAAAGCACCAACCCTTTCCCGACCATTCAGTGGCAATCAGTCTATTTACAAAAGTACTCATGTACTCATGGTATCAATCTAAACCTACCTAGCAGTCCCCACTACAGAAATGCCACATGTGTCAATTTTTCACTTTTTTTTCATGTCTTCGAAAGATCTTTTTGCTTGATGTAGATTTTCCAATGTCTAGACAGCTCCCCCCTTCTGCATTCTTCCTTCTGCTCCGTTTCTTCCCGAACCAAACCCCGAGTGTCTGTCATGGTATGTAGCGATTGCGAAAACAAGACGTAGAAAGACAGGGCAGGATCAGAAGCTGGAATGATTTTTCTTGGGCATCAAAGCACAAACACACAGACATGGAACAATCGAGGTATGCAAGTAATGATGAGCAGACGGTAAAAACAATAAACCCACTCGCCTGGCACCCTGCTATGTTGGTATATTGACAATGATAACTGATGATGATGAGGATGAGGATGACGATGATGATCATGCCGGTTGGATATAATATTCAAAGATGCGTTGCCAGCCACAGAACACAAGTGCAAAAAAAAAAAAGAAGAAGAAGAAGAAGACAAAGATGAACAGGAAAGGCAGAAGAAAAGCGGCCAATATGTATAAGAGACAATGCCTGCACTCCATTTTTGTATATCAAGGGTCTCTCCGGATACCATATCTGGTGAATATTTTTGTGTATTCCGCTTTCCTCTTGAGCACCAAGTGACGTTGAACAGACGATGATGATGACCTTTCAAATCCAGGCAGGACAATCGACGAAAAACTGAAACGAAGAAGATCAAGACAGGGCACATATACCGTATGCAATTCATGCGAATAAACCGTGGTAGCCAGCCATACCTCCCTGGTTTGCCAATTTCCGTTATTTAACCTTGCAAAACGCCGATATTCAACATGGAAGAAAACAAAAGAAAAGAAAAGAGGAAAGAAGAAAAGTGTCATATACCTCCATGAAAAGTAGCAAAGCAAGTGCAAGCGAAATCATGTCATCTGCAAGAGGACGTCGCCTCATTTATACACTACCAAAATACCTTTCCTCAGATCAGGGAAGGGTACCCTTGGCAGGAAAGTTCGACTCGCAATAGGAGAAAAGATCGCGCTGCGATAAAGGCTATACAAAAGCCATGTGACATCGTACCGTCCTTTCAATATGTGAAATGGGATTAGTTCTCGGACCCAGCATGCCGACAAATTCAGATCCACCACAGGAGTGTAAGCAGCAAGGAGCACGTTCTGAGCTGCAGCGTCGACCGGTAGCGGTGTGAAGCATGGACTGATCTCTATCACGTCTTCAGCCGCCTTTTCTCAAAGACTCATCCGCCGGAAGTGGCTCGGCGCCACTATGCAAGCCATGTCGATGCTCCATTGAGTGCTTGGTGTTCCGTTTGGGCTTTCTGCTCTTTGGCATCTGCCAGCCACCGCTGGCATGGTTCGCTGCAGAGTCCTGTGCCGAGCTGACCCCGTTTGACTTCCGTGGCTGAGAGCCCACATTCCGTCTCTCATTGTCCCCTGACCCAGACGCAGAATTGTGGTTTTTGGGCTTGGCCTTGTGGGTGCCTCCATTGGCTCTTTCAGACTCGACGCCGTTGGCACGGCGTTTCCCGCTAGATGCTGCAGGCTGTTGTTCCGTCGCCGAAGGACCCGGGGCCGACGTCCCCTTTTCTGCTGCATTCACCTGCCTTGGACGAGGAGTTTCTTTCTCGACATGTTCGTGATGATTTACGACAGTCTTAGGCTTTTCCGATGAACCGCGGCACACAGGCTCGGCCATCTTCTCCGAGTTTGAGAGATGCAGGCTTTGCAGGCGGCTGGAAAGCAAACTATGCTTCCCTCCATGACCATTGACGAAGGGATCACCCGTTTTGGCCACCGTGGGATATGATTCTATGCCCTGTCTTGTGAAGTATGGCGTCGGGTCAATCTCGACAGAGCTATTGTCTGGATAGTCCTGAGAAAACGAGTCGGAAACACTGGCAGGAGTGTCCGTGTTGATGTCATCCGAAGCTGAAGTGCCATGGCTCATTGTAGCATAGGGGTCATACCCTTCTGCTGAGGCTGAGAGACGCGTTTCACTAGGAGGCACGGATCCATCCACAATCAACGGACCACCACGATCGCCAGCGGGAGCCGAACGCGAAGTTGCCCGCTGTTGTGCTGAGCCAGACTTGATCGGAAAGACGTGACCACTATCCAGGCTCTGACCCACTGTTTCATTCGGCGGGATCGACGGCATGTATTCTTGTGAACTTCCGGCAAAGGGCATCATGGTGCCATTCTGCATGGTAAGCCCTACTGGGGATGACAAGGAGGACAACAGAGCGTTCTGATGATAAGCCTGTAATTGGGGGGATGTCGCCAGGTAGTAACCCACATATTCATTGGCTCGGCCCTCATCGAAGTAACCAGAGCGAGATACGTTGGGTAGACTGCTAGGCATAAAGGTACCTTCGTCCTCACCCTGCAGGCCGTCCGGGGAACCAGGCATGTTGCGCGGTTTCGACGTCGGCGAGTCCTCTTGTGCTTGCGCGATAGAATAGAGCGGGGCGAAGCTTGGGAGAGAGTTAACTGGGCGTGCCGGTTGCGAGTGTGCCCGGAGCGATCCGCTTGGTGACCCGTTCGCTACTGATGACCGGCGGGGACTGCGTCTCAGATCTGGCATTGTGGTGTTTGCTGACGGTGACGGCGGGTTGGTGCTGCTTCCCTGCACACCTGGTACAGTGACCGGGAGATACGGGGTGCTATAGTAGACCGGCTGACGGACTGTTGCACCGTGCGTTTGATGATTCGTCGTTCCGGACCTTGATCGGGAGCTGTCCTCTGTAGACGTTTCCTGTTGCTGGGGCATCGGAAACTGAATAAACGGTTGCCGGATGAGGACAGGCGGAGGCCGTCCAGTCAGAAGCGCCTGGTTCTGCAGTTGGAGCCGCAATTCTTGTTCCTGCGCTTGAAGAATTTGGATTTGTTGGTAGAGATGATCATGGAGGAGATACTGAGCATGCTGAGCCTGCAAAGATAATTCGGACGCACTCATACCGTTGGATTGTCGGAAGCTATTCGACTTGTTGGGTGTATTTGAGGCCCTTCGGCCACCAGCATTCCCGCCACGGCTAAATTGATTCGAGTGTCGTCCGCCTCGACCACCCCCACGGCCACCTCGAGACGGTGGCGGGGCTGCAGTGATGACTGGTCGCGGTTGGGGGGGCGGTCTTTCCCACGAGCGCTCTTCTTCAGGTGGATACTCGTATTGTTCGCAGCAAAGTTCCAGATTGCCCTCGGAAACGGCCTTGAAGGCCCGGCGGAGCTCCATGTGGACCCCCCTGAACGACGTATCGTCCGCGGTGTTGCCCAGGTTTCTTGACGTGTTGAAGGGTTCTTCAACACACAGGCGATTATTTAGCATCAAGTGCCATCTCTTAGCCTCCTTTGATAGAAGCTTTCCCTCTCGTACAGAGATCACATGCTTCTCATAGTCCAGCTCATGGCCATAGTACCTAAAGAATTGGAAGAGCAGCTCTCCAAGGGACTGCTTGTTCTGTCGTCCAAAGCCGATGAGAGAATCAAGGTCGTCATCGAACGAGCAAACAATCCCGTCCGCCGTTGTTTTCTTCTTGTGAGGTCGAGCCTGAAGGCTCGGCAAAATGGGTGGTTCCCGTGTTTGCAAGAAATTGATGATCAGACAAATCCACGTATAAGAACTCAGGGTGCCTCCAAGTCCTGATTTCGATGAGTTAGTCTAGTCAGTAGACTGCGGGATGTCGCTGAAGTCGGGGAGAAGGTGCGCCCAGCAGAGCTTGCGCTGCATGCCATGGATCCGAGTGCTGACACTTACCGGCATCGTTCAATATCCTCCGTTTTGTCCAATGTTTCACAATCATAGCCAGGGGCCGGATACGCTCGTCTAACTCTACATATGTCCGGACCATTCGCGTGTTCTCCAAAGCCATGGTATTGTTGACGTTCATGTCACATGCTAATCGCAATTCCGGGTCCCAGATCTTGACGATAGGGACTTTGGCGTGCGAGACGCAAACGACTCGCTCCATACCATCTGTGATCCATGTTCATTAGAATCGCGACCCGCGTCGAGTTCAGAATAAGGGCTCCTTACGTTTTGCGAGAACCTCCGCCAGCAGACACACATGCTCCAGCTCTTTATAGGTGGTGGTTATACAAATGTCAACTATTCCTCGAGTCAGCCGCCAGTCCCAACGTGGGGTAAGTCACCTTCTGCCCGTGCCATAAACAGCCAAGTACATACCATCCGAATCACTCGAACAGAGTTTATTCCCCGACGACCCGAACACATGAACCTTAATATTACAACCCGGCCACTGATCATTGAAGAGTTTTTCCAGCTTGCGAACGAGCTGACGTCGTCGATCGTCACTCTCGGCTGACGGTAACAATCGGTCGTAAACCTCGAGCATGTCCGCGGTCAGTCTTTGTTCCTCTTCGGGCTCCAGCCGCTCTTTCAAGCCCTCCTTCTCCGCCGGTAACACCTCGTCGCCTATGGAGTACGGTATTCGCCTGCGGAAGAAAGCCATCGCCGTCTCGTACTTGCAGCCGCCATATTGTTTTCGCATCGACGGGGGGAGGTGGGTGGACTCGGAGTGGGTGGAGCGCGGGGAGGTGCTCCCGTGGGGAGGCGAGGGGGATCTGGAATGGAAGGAGATCTTCCGCGCATGTTGATATGGAGTGGAGGGCAGGGAGTTCGATTGATGCGAAGACAATGGAGGGCGACTCTTTGCCTCCGGAGACGTATTGGTCGATAACTTCCACGGCATCATCGAGGCCTTTTCCGAGGCTATCGGAGACTTTCCACCTTGTATGGAAGATATATTAGCATTCCCATGGGTGTCTGAGAGCATATAGTGACTCCAACGTTGCCGCCAACGTTGGCCTCCAAGAAAGTGCGATCGGGACGAGGGCCGCTGTTCGTTCTCAAACGTCACGTCGGGGTGCGCAGATCCACCGAGGAAATTCCAACTTTGCGGACCAGAAACCGTTCAACCACCGGGGAATAGATAACCCGCCAACGACCGTGTGCACCGAAAGGCGAACCCGCAGGAAACAACGACGAGCGACGAGGCGAAAGGGTTTGGGGAGGAGCGGACGGACGCAAGGCAACCAGTGGAGGAGAGGTCGACAGAGGAAATCGGCCGGCGACGGGTCAGCAAAAATGTCTTTGTGCTGCTTTCCGCAGGGAAAGACTTCGCAGTCCCGGAGGTGGACAATTCCACCACCACAACGAGGAGAATTGACAAGAAACAAAAAAGGAACAAGCAATGAGAAAGCAAGACGAAAGTGAATGCTCTTTCCCTGGGAGGAAAGTCAGAAAAGTGGAAGTGGGAGGTCTGGGTTTGAAGTGGGTGGAATTGTTCGGCCGATCGACCACCAGATAGACAGTCAGTGTTTTAAGGGGAGAGAGCGATAGACTCTAGCGGGTAAGGGCACACTCCAAAAAAAAATCACACAAGTACAACAAGTAAATAAAGACGGGTAAAGCCGAGGAGTCTGGAGTAATGAGCACGGTGAATGGATATTCCAGAATGAATCCTTTTCTGGAGGGGGGGAGAGAGGTGGGATGTGCAAAGGACCAGCCTGGTTGTGATCTTGAATGGGAATTGAATGAGGAGGTGGAAATATAGCGGGAATGCCAGTAGGTTGCTGGGAAAGGTTAATCAAGCACTGCAGCGGGCGGCGGCGGAGAAAGAGAGGGAGGGAGGGAGGGGAGGGTTCGGAGGGGAAGTACAGTAAGTACAGTGGGAAGTGGGAGGGGGCGAGAGAGGATGTAATTGAGGGTGATCGGCTGGAGAGCAAGCACTGCAAGAGCCTGAGCCAGGGGGGGCCTGTAGTTAATCCCGCCGCTGGCCAACGGGCGGTCACTACTGTCGAAACGGGCACGGCCGGCACAGCGGCAGTCACTGCAGTCACTGGACTTACTGAGCTCACAACTACTAAATTACTGCTGCGCATTCACTGCACTACTACTACTACACCTTGCGCCGTATGCACTCTGAACACCACTACTATTCGTTAATCTTCACCTAGTACGCAATAATCACCACTTGAATGAATATTTTCACTGGATTCATTTTCGAGGCTATCAGGAACCCATCCTCGAAACAAAACCCGAGGACAAAGACCGCTCCATCAATAAGGACTCAGCTGAAACGGGTGATCAAACTGAAGACAATATAGAAACAAAAAAAGGGCCAATGCTTGGACGAAGGAGGATCCAGAGTTGAAAGGGGGGAATGCAGACGCAGACAGCACCGGGAGTTCCCAACACGTTCCGAGTCAGCACTGGCCGTGACTCTCAACCTCACAGGTGGAAGACACACGCTCTCCTTCACGGCCATTTCATCCAACCCCAGTCAGTCCCAAATAGATTGACAGGTAGTCTGGCACTAGCTCTGGTATTATATTCGCCCGGCTTATTAGCACTAAAAAGGCCTCATTGTTCTACGGAGTACTGGCCGTGAAATTGCAGCATTTTTCGGCAACGGAGAGCCGGTGGAACTCTGAATCATGGTGAGGTAGATTCCCGATTCCTTCATTATGATGCTCCAGTATATCTGGGCTCCAGACTCCATCGTCATCCTACCTCAGGCACAGTCCAACCTCCCCAATCTCACACATCAATTCCACAGGGCCACCAACGTCAATTGCCGCAATCAATGCGGCGAAGCCCTGAAAATCACTGGCCTAGATTCCAGCTTGTCACATTCCATCGACGTGCATCATTTCCGCGACTCGCATACATTGGCACGGCTAAATCCCCTGCTGAAAGCCTTCGCCTCAGCAATTTCATAAACCCACCCCGAGACAGGGGCAGGAAAGAGAACAAGATCTATTTGAAAAAGACGCGCCGTTGAGTTGTACTGTACTCATCTGTTGGCTCTAGCCATAAACATACAATCGCTCCAAATGAAAGGTAAAAAAAAAAAAAAAGGTCCAGAAGCAATCTGCAATCCTTCACAGCTTATCGTCGATTCTTTGTGTCGATCATCACCAGGGCTATTGAACTCCTGTTACGCAGCAAAGCATCAGGAGCCATTGGAAGAATCGAACCAACAAACCAAACCCCCAGCAGCAGCAGCGGCAGCAGCAGCGCCGCCGCCGCCGCCGCCGTTGTTGCATTCCTCCTTTTTCCTAGCCCTTCCCCTCATTCATCGAATGCTGCTAGCCTTTTTTCCTTTTGTCCCTCTCTATTTTGCTTTTTTCATTGTTAGACTAACTCCCGTTCCCCTTTTCTTTTGTCTCTGCCCCGCGTTTCCCGTGAAGTGACTGTCTCGGCCCTGAGCCCGAACCAATGCGGCACGTGTGACGGGCGCCGTGACCGGGTGTGTCTCCAGCCCAGTGGCAGTCGTTCAATAATAACTCATTCAGGGCCAACTTATGGCCCACCGCCGGCACAACAACCACTGGGAGCCTCTGTTCTTCTCTTCACAATGGGGGCAGACGGGCTTCTATTCTTGGTAACGTTTCGAGGTGCTCGGTTTGATTGTAGCAACTGCAGCTGGTGGGGAGAGAAGGAGGGGGGTAAGGTTAGGTATTCTCTTCATCTCCGAGCGAGACATACTATATCCGACGGAGAAGCTTCCACGCTGCCACCAACCACCACCGGACTCCCTCACCAACCCTTGATGCGTGTAGTCTAGTGTATACCTACAACAATACAGCCCCATGGCTATTCAGGGGCCCCGACACGCCGCATTCAGCAGAATCCAACAATAGCCGAATCAGGGTTCGTCCAATCCAGTCCGACTCGCGACCTTTTGAGATCCGACCTATCCTAGTCGCAAACTGGGGGCTTATATCGCGCTTCACCAGGAGAGCAAAGCCAGGTCAACATTGTTCTGGTCGGCACCCCCGCCCACCTGTCATATTGCTGAACACATGGTTGCAACATGGTTGCGAACCATGGCTTGGACCCTGTCACCGTTTCCGGATCCAGATGGTTGAAAGGACCTCCATTCTGAAGGAGGATCGCCAACCAACCGGATGGAAGTCTGGCACAAAAGAAAGAGTTTCTACGGATGCGCTGCAATGGAGGTGTGTACCGTACCATCCCGATCTTCGGGGATCGTTGTTGATTGCCGACGTTGAGCGTACTGCTTCGGTTTTTGGGTTGTAGATCGGAGGTTTACTTGTGGATGCTGGCTGGGGGATGTTGGTGATAGTGAGGTTGCTCCGGAGGGGCGGGAAACCTCACTTATAAGTAAACCGAGGTGCAGGGAATCTCGAGAAGGCAAATCTGGCCTGCGAACGAACTAGAGGGACCATCAGCCACCGAGGTCATTGTTTCTGCAAACAAGCATGGTCGGGGTGGAGAGGTGGGCAGAGCCACGCATCGAGGAGTGATTCTTCGTGATAGGGCGGCGACATGTATGTACTGGAAGTATAAGGGTAGGACCGGGTCGCTGCATCCAAGCTACTCAGTTATGCATCGATCAATGTCAATGCCAGTTTCCCAGACCTGCTTATTTTGCTGATTCAATACCCCGAGACAATCCCGGTGTCTCTTTGCCGCAGCTTTGAAACACAATCAGAAAAGAAAAGCATGAAGAGCGTGTGCTCGCGAGATCAGATGAGAGAGACAACCAGGCTGCATGGCTTGACGACCATACCACACTGGGATATCACTACAGACAAACTGACCCAGCCGAAAGCAGACAGAAAGACACAGCCTATAGCCTATCTGATCCCCAAGAAGCGATTGCCTGCTCCTCCTGGTCGGCAGACGTGATGATCCAAGCCACTGGCAGCACGATGACGATGCATAAGAAGCCCATCTTGTGATTCGGGACTTCTTTTCCCCCTCCTTTCTCCTCTTTTGCCTTTCCCCTCCATTTCTCCCCGTCGCCCCTCCTTTTCTATTTTACTTTTTCTGGATTCCCCCCAAATAATTGCAGGGGAGAGGGTCCGAGTGCTTTTCCATCGTGATTCTATCTTGTGCTGTCTGTGCCCCACCCCGGCCGGCCTCCTGGATTGGAGAGACCGGGCGTTCTCCGGGCCATGGATTTGACCATGTCTCCTACAGACTACAGTAGTACTGTGTACGTGCAGTATGGCAGCCTACAGAAGTAAGTACGGTAGATCATGATTTTCCGACAGTTGCAGGATGTAGTTGTCGGTAGACGTAGGTCGTGGGTGCCTTCGGGAAGAAGCAGGAACAAGAGGAGACCAGGCTGCGCGCAGTGAACCATCGAGACAAGAGAAGAAGTCTGAATAACATCCCTGATAGAATCGATGGAACAACACTCGCAGGCCTGAAATAGCAGTTCCAGAGACAGAGACGAGGACCCTGAGGACGGTGAGAAGTTCGAACTGCCCACGACGACCAGAGAAGCAAGAAAAGTAACCGGCGACCCGCAAGGAGAAGATAGAGAGTAGAGACGGCTTTCCGCCGACAAGTCCAGCTCCGAAGAGGTTTAGCCACCATACCTCCCACACCCGGGCTAATTTAATCCCCACGAGGAAGATGGGATTTGAGCCTGCTCGACGTCGGCTTGGCGCATTCATGGAGGTTATGGGTTGTTATCAGCATAAGGATGAATGAGTGAATCTCTGGCAGCATACGTAGCACGGTACTGCGTAGTCGTGATTCAAATTCAAGGTTTCTATCTGCCGTATGATCTATACCGGTAACAAACTCGTAACCATTGTTTTCCAGCCCGTGCCCAGAGTCAAGCTGGTGGGTGTGGTACGATAATACCTCCTCCAAGATAGAGTGCGGGAAAGGGGCTTCGAGATTGCCTGCACGGTTAGTAATTCGCGATATCCGGGCTGAAGGGGGTGTCTGGTGTTTTCATTGAGACTGGGCTGTAGAAGCCTGGGAGAAAGAATCGGTTCTCTCAAAGATATCGCTCTCTTGAAGAAGCATCTATCCTGTGTCTTACTACAAGTCATCCGAAGCTGTCCGCGACTGTTGTAGGAAGTGACCGGGTCCGCATGCTGGTCTCCAAGCGTCGCGACGAGAAAAGGAGGGTGGGACAGCTCTGCGAAAAAAAGGTTGACGGGCCGACGCTAAGAGAGATACAGGATTACAAGGTCGCTGCCCAGTGCTTTTTTGTCTGCTGCTGTTGCTGCTGCTGCTACTGCTCTCCTCATCTCTCTTCCCGGCTACCGGCTACTCTACACTCTAGAGCCGTCCGGCAGACAGTCAGAAGGAAAACGCGGTGCATACGCCATTGTGCATTGGACTGGTTCTCGGAAAATCAGGGTTCTGTTCGGATGCGATGCGACAAGGGAGATGAATGTCTCAATCCCCGTGGTGCAGCGCCATGGTACTCGATTGAGACTATTGCGGCTTGACTCGCTGGCACCTTGCCATCTTCTTTTCAAGGAATGAATGCTGACTTGCATCCAGGTGATGATGATGAGGGAGTGATGGCTGCTGACTGCGAACACAAGCCCCATGCCGGATAGTGGACTCAACTGCGGGTGTGTGTGTGTGTGTGTGTGTGTATCGATATTACATGTGGGACCCCCTAAACATTATCGTACGGATACTTACCTGTCAGCGATGAAACAATTGGATGGGATGAAGGGCCAGAGCCATCCTTAAGGGGAAATTTGTATAGCAGTCACAACTGCCACATCATGACAGGACATCAGTCCTCTCTGGTTGTTTTTGTAGACTTATAAGGTAATAATCTAGAGCATGATGGGCAGAAATGGGAACCTCATGTTGAAAGCCAAGTAACCAACTTGGAAGAGGGGAGAGAGAAGAAATTTCTCGGATCGGGAGGAACCCAGCGATTCAACAACCCGAACCTTCTTCACCAACCACATTCATCCAAATCCATCCGATGCCCACCCCATTTTTTATTTTTTTTTTTCCCTCTTACTCCACGGAGACACCGGTGGTTCTCTCAAGGCAGTACACTAAATAGGTATGAACAACTAATCACCTTCTACGGAGCAGAGATGTTTTGAGTCCTGACATGAAGAGTGAGGAGAATGGAGCAGACTGTGTCTCCTCATGCTATGGTATCTCTTGATCTGGTCTCTCTATCTCTCTGTCTGTCCTGGGCCCAAAAAAAGTGATATTGAAGTACTCCGTAGTGACTGGGATCTCGGCTTGTTGGAGTTAGTTTTCTCCATAAGCCCATGTTTCCAATCTGCTGTATAATCATTACCTACCAGTATTAGTAGTGGAATTTATTATTATTTTGGCTACAGCGGAGAAAAGACCTGCTGTTACTGCTTGTTAGTTACTACTGCTTGTTGCTGCTGCTGCTGTTGCTGCTGTTGCTGCCGCTTCTCCTCTCAGACTCTCTCTCTCTGTCTCTCTCACTCAGTCTTGTCTGCTTTTCTTATCCCCGGTCAAAAAATTAGAATCCACGTCTTTTGCTCGCTTCTTTTCCCTTTGCCCCCTCTCTTTCCTCTCTTCCTCACTCTCACTCTCACTCTTCCTCCGTTTCTCGGTCTCGAGACTCTTTTCTCCCCGTCCCCTCATCAAGGCCGTCCCCCCCTTCTTCTCTTGTTTGGGACGATTGCACTTCTCCCTCCTCTGCTACCCGACCTTTTCCTTGCCTTTCCTTCCTCCCCTCCCCATCCTCCATCCTTAATTCCCTCCGTCCATCCACTCTTCCCTCTTTCCTCTCCCCCCCCCCCCCCACGCCTTCTCCAACCCTTTTCATTTCCTTCACGCCGGGCTTTACTTGTCTGTCGTGTCTGAAGGGTGAGAAGTTGCTGTCGGTCACTGCTTGCCATTCTGCCTCGTTCACTCGTGGTAGATACTCCTGAGAGTGCAATCCCTCTTTTTTTTTTTAGACCTGGTGAGTAACCAAACCCCGTCTCCTTGCCTGACACTCCCGAAGCACAATGTCTTGTCTTTTCTTTTTTTGTCCGCCGTGTCATCCACCCACCGGTCATGGAAAAATCACAACACCTCATCGACAACGCCTTTATCATCCTATTCAATTAATTGCGGCCCGTCAAATCTGTCGGTTCATGTCCGCCTATCATCGCTGCGGTGCGAGTTCATTTAAATGGAAGCCCAAGATGTGAAGTCGGAGAAGTAAAAAAAAAAAAAAAAGTTTGATACTTGGGAAGGGACATTCCGAGGATTCCAAGAATAACTCCGATCGATGTCATTGCTGGTCGCCATCCCGCCTCTTTTGTCTTCTTCCTCTTTCCTCGGTGTGGTGACTGGGACACCTGGCCCGTTTATCTGGACTTTCACCCTGCCTTCGTCCACATTTCTCTCGAACCTTTCTCATTCCCAGTCAATGCGCTCGGTGCGCTGCTTTGGACTCGAGGACCCCATGCTCATTCATACTTTTCAAACAGGCCTCTCCTGATTGCCTCCGAGCGGTCAACTTTTCTTTCCGCTTCACGCCGTCCGTCCGTCGCGGTCCGCAAATCAATTGAATAATGGCTGCCTACTACGAGGCCCAGGGCTGGCAGGCCCCTCCCACACGCCAGGCTTCCTGGGAACAACCAGTTCCTCCGTCGCGGTCAGGTATGGCTCACATTACAAATCGGTGTTCTTATCTGGAAAAAAAAAATGAGGCTGACACCAGTGCTCACGCAGGATCAAGCTCCGTTTCCCAGCGCGAGGAGGTCCCGGCTTTCTCTTCTCAATTCGATGGTATGCACACACCTCAACACTTCTCCTCGAAGCCATGTCTCGTACGATTGCTATGATAGAGGTTGCGGAGGACCGATCACGATTTGTGGATTGAGTTTCCCTGCGCTCTGCAGGCAGCGTGAAAATCTTGGCTTGGCGGAACAAAAAGAATTGCGGTGCTGACTGTCAACAGAGGTTGACCGTGCGATCGATAACCTCGTCAAGAGCGGAAAGCTTTGGGCTGCGCCTCGGAGAGATTCGATGCCCATGATGATGGGTCGCCCATATCCCGACTATGGTATGATCCCAGGAAGATATCTGACTACATGTTGGCCCATGCTAAAACGTTCTGTGGTAGATCCGCGCATGGCCGGTGCGATGTCGCAGCGTCATCACTCGATCAGCGAGTTCGACTCTCGGATGCACCCGAATCCCTCTCTCCAAGGTTTCTATGCCTCGCAGCGATTCCAGGGTCGCCCCAATGAAGTGGAGCAGATGATGCAAGCGAAGCGTCGGATGGCAGCACAGCGTGAGAGGGAGCTCCGCAACTATCACCAGGAGCAACAGTACAACCGAAGTACGTGGTAGCATTTGTCTTTGGAGCCTCTTTCTTTCCTCGCCCGCATTCTCCTCCACTATTCCCCCATGATCTTCTCTGCCCATATGTGTATTCGCTGGCTTGTATATTACATTGGGACATGGTTCCAGTTTTTGAACATGGTTTTAATTCTTCTGCTTCTCTCAAAGGCCTGCTTGCCGAAATGTCTGGAAACAAGTCCGATCGCTCGCTCAGCCCAGCCGCCATGAACGAGGAAAGTCGCCGAGAGCTTCTGGCTCGTCAGCATAGGGCCCTGTACGGCAACGACAGCCCCGCCTTCTTTCCCCCTGGCAGCCTGACCGATGAGAACCCTCGCTCCGACAGCCAGGCTGGTGGTACCCCGACTTCTGCTACTGGAGTTCGTGGCCCATCCCCCCGCGGCGCCGACCCCTTCGGCCTCGCCCAGACTCCGGTCCAAGGAAGCGTGGATGGGGTGTCTCCGGCTGCTGCCGGCGCGGCCTCCCTCCAGTCTCCCTCGCGCGCCAACAGCACCTCTTCCCCCAGCTCTGCCATCAACCCGGTGTTTGGCAAATACGAGACGTCTGACCAGCCCGGAACTTCGACCTCGTCTCCCGGTGGCGCCGATTCCCCTTCGTCGAGACAGGCCTCGTCCAAGGCGGCGGCCGGGCCCATCGGATCGGTGGGTCCCATTGGCAGTCGGCCTCTTCAACAGACCGGCGCCGGTCAGGCCTCCAACCCGGCCCTGAACAAGCGCTCTACGACTCCCCTTCCGTCTCCTTTGGGATTCGGCTTCACCTCGGGTGATGCTACGGCAGCCGACCGCACGTCGTCGGTCTCCAACCCCTCCACCACCGCTGCGGCGACCGCCGGCGTCAAGGACACTACTGGCGGTGGTGTTTCCCTTGGCTGGGGTAACGGCAGTGGCGTGTGGGGATCGAAGAACGGCTTGGGTGTGCAGGCCTCTGTCTGGGGCTAAGTGGCAGCCCATAGCCATGATTCGACCTCTACAGCATTATTCCTTTTTGGATGGGTGTTCGCTTTTGTGCTGTGGCGTTCTGAGAGAGGGTTCTATTTTTGATTCGGATACTGGGAAAGAGCATGGTACATATCTGAAAGAAGTGGGTCGCAAGCACACCTCTTGATTAATCGTTTTGTCTAGCGCTCCGTCACATGTGGACAGTTAATTTGGTACATGGTTGGTTTACTGACTAGGGGACTTTGGGATTGGCCTGTTGGTTTCTGGAGTCGGTATTCCCTTTTTGTGTTATGTTGCATCCTCGTCTCTTTGTTTTGTTTTTGTGTTGGTACAGCATCTGTTGATTCTGGGTTGTTCGCTCGCCGTGACACAGCATTCATCACTGCTTCAGGGGTTTGGGTATCTGGGGTGTATGTCTCCGGGGCCTCTCGTTTCCCGCTCATCTTTGGGGGGTTCCAGGTGTTTTATTTCTTGTTTGGTTCAGGGTCCGGTCGTGAGTTTGGTCGAAGCATCCTGAGTCCTTTTCTTCGCGTGTTATTTAATGGGGGTTTGTCTTTCATCACCGGGTACGAAAAGGGGTTTGTTATTTGTGTGTATGTGGGATTAACTGGGGAGCAGGCAAACATCATCAAAAGAGTTACTGGAGTCTGTTGATCTGCAGAGAGTTCTGGATTGTCTTTATGTTATGTTTTTCCTCCGTTAATAGGTTTATATTTTCTTTTTGCTTCTGTTCTGGTCATACTGGTATACCTTCTCTACTGTCTGGTGTCTGCATCTAGGTTGTCGTATCTTCTTATCGAGTACTGGCGCCGCGGTGGTACACTGCTGTCCGCGGAATTTGTTGTTTCTTGGTCGCGTATGCTGTAGTTTTGTAGGCTAGCCAGCTCCAGAGTTGTATGTTTACAGGATAGATGCAATCTGCTGTCCCTCCCTGTATCTCTCGCGTTGCATTGGATCGAGTAGGCGGTGGTAATCCGATCGACTTACCTTAGACCGAGCTTTAAGATGAAGTATGTACAGATACATCCTAGTCGTAAGACCTCATGTGCTGTTTAGGACAAATAGATCTAATAATCATATCATGGCAGTGTCTTATCTAACGCATTGTCATCAAGTCATCAAAATCGTAGCTCTAGCCTTGCAGCTCGTATATACCAGCCACAATTGAACCGCAGCCGAGCGGCAACAGAAAGCAACTCAAACAGCTGGACCCAACAGCGGGTCCTCCTCGGAAGCCTCATCAGTCCAGTTCCCAGCAGATGCCCTCGTCCTCCTCGCCCTGGGCTCAATACCCAGACCCTCTGGGTCCTCCTCCTTCTGTCCCTGAAATCCCCCAGAAGCAGAACCCTCAAGCCACGGCTTTCTCCCACGTACCCCGTCCAGCCCCTCCGCCGCACCCTCCCCCCCACCAAGATAATAAACCCCCTGGCCAGCCACAACCAACGCAAAAGCAAGAGGATACCACGCACCAACCCTATACCGAAACCCGAGCACCCCCACCAACACGCCCCAACAATTCATCGTCAACATACTCAAATTGAAGAACGCGGCCGACGCACGACGCAACAAGATAGGCACAAGCGCATAGAACCCCGCAAGACAAAGCGTAAACCCCAGCAGCTCCAGCACGGTCCCGCGATCCCAGTCCACAGCATTCAGGGCAGGGACCTCGAACGCGACAGCCTGTGCCCCGGTGAATATCGCCCCGAATAGCCCCAGCTGGGCCAATACCTCCGGGATGCCGTTTGGCGTGGTGCTTACCAGGAATTCTTCGAACGTGTTGGCCAGTCCGTAGCTCGTTGCGCCTAGGAGCGCGTATACGTCGCCTTTGAGCGGGTTGGGGCGCGGGGCGGATTGTGGGGTGGATGCGCTGCGGTCAGAGAGGAGGAGGAGGAGCATGCCGGCTATGCAGATGGTTATTCCTAGAAGTTGCGGCCGGTGGTAGCGGACGCCTAGCATGGTGGAGGAGACGAGGACCACGATCGCGATCGCCCAGAAGTTTATTAGTTGGGCGCTGAGGAGCGTCGTGTGTCTGTATGAGAGGACGAGGAGGTAGTTGCCTGTTACGTCGCAGGTTGAGAGGAGGAGGTCTGTTTTTTTTTTGGGCGGGGAGGGGTTAGGGCTGGGCTTTTTGGGTTGGTGTTGGGTTGAGATGAGATGCTTACATTTCCAGCCGCGTTGGAGCAGCATAAGCGTCCAACTTTGTAGGCCGTGCCGGTAGATCGTGTATGTGGTGAAGATGAGCGCTAGGAGGAGGTAGGTGAAGAAGGTCTGGAAGGCGGGGATCGATACGCCTCGGTCTGCTAGAAGCGTGCTGAATGTGCTGCAGGCTGTGTTCGTGATCGCGAGGGTTTGGCTGGCTGGCGTTAGGCTGATGCGGCGGTGGTTTGAGACACGGACGCTTACCCTAGGAGGAGCGTGAGGTAGAAGTCGCGCGTCGATAGGTAGGCAAATAGTCCTTGCTGGCGCGGGTTGGCTGCTGATTCTCTGCTGGCGACACCGCATACATCCTGCTTGGGCGGGCGGTTGCTCCCGATCCTCGGGGATGATGGCCCGGCATGCTCAGTGCCATGGGACATGGCAGAATGTGTCATGGCCGGATACACTGCAACGAAATCCGTCGCAGGCGCAGTGGGAGCTTTCTGACCCGCACGACGAGCGCAAAGCTCCCGAAGTCGCTCGCGGAGGTCTCAAAGACTGTCTGTCAGTCTACCTGAAGTTGAAGTTGAAGGTGAAGTCCTCCGAAAGCAAGGCTGAGCCCGTCACCTGCCCCAGCAGCAAATTGCCACCAATCAGCACGAAAGTCTCATTAGATTATGTAATCTCTAGAGAAATCAGATCCGCCCCGTCATGAGATACTGCAGCCAATTAGCAGTGACCGCAGTGGGTCCCGCTCGGGCCCGATAAGCGATAAGTGATAAGCCTGAGGCGTCCCGTTGTTATCAGGGATGATGATCTTAGCTGGTAGCAGTCTGGAACACACCGACTAAGGTGCTTAGTCCTAGGTACAGTACAGCAGTTGCAACGATAAGGAGCCATGCTAGTCTAATAAGGAAGCTCACGTCTGCAGCAATTTAAGGTAGAGACGTGCCACCTCCGCACTGATGCAACCGATCTTAGCGTTCCTGCACGGGACATCCATCCACTTCCCTGCTTGACAGGGGACGTGTGCTCAGTATAAATCTACTTAGTACTCCGTACTGTGTAAGCACTCAGCTCAGACAATATACCCTAGGCTAGGACCTAGGCTTCATTGGTCAACACCGAAAGACCAAGTTAACAGTCACATGTCGCATGTCGCATGTTGTATCTCGCATCGCCACCCTGTTGCTGCCCCAGGCACCCAATTTAGGCTTCGCGCGCCGAGGGGCGATGATCTCATCGGGGGTGATTCATTCTTCTGGAAAACAATAGGGGTTGGCGGGTGCTTCAGCATGATTCAGAGGGCCGGCATTGTTGAGTGACGCAGCATCGCAGCTGACCGGGCGCTCATCGCTTCCGCTTGGTGCATCTTTTGACCGACGGCAACACAGGCGCAATGGACCGTATCGGCAGTGCAACCAAGTCAGGCAGTGTTGGGTGAAGCTTGGGATGATCGCTGCCCAACTCAGTAGCAGCACCGATCTGTCTTTACTATTCATGGATCCATCCGCCCGTGCGATTCCATGTCCAGCAATAGAAAGCAGTGGTCGGCCGACCAGATAGCAATTAAGGTGGAGAGGCGGAAGGCCCCGGGAAAAGAGACAATGCAATTCTTCGCCATGTCGGATCGTCCTTTGAGGCTGATGTAGTTTATTGCATATCCACCCTAAGGTTCCATGGATATTGACTGCGTGGGGACCCGTGATTACCGTTGCGGTCAGCTCCCCTCACTAGTGTGCATTGTCTCTGTAGCATGTATATCATGTAGAGGTATAGGTCGATAGCAGACCAGATAGTTGTGAATGTATATCTTCACACGGGCTAGAACCTTGCCCTACCACCGACCCCTTGTATGCCAACCCCGGAATCCAACATCTTACTGTAGACGGTGCTGCACATACATTGACAGGGCCGTAGGTACAGTAAACCACAGTCAGTACAGGGTCAGTTCCACATGGGACAAGAAGAAGCATTCTGCTGTAAGGTCCGACAGCTACTATTCTTATCCCTTTCACCGAGCTTGAAACTGCTCCCGATATGATGTGCGCACGTCATCGGCACGACCCTTGTTTCTTGTTTATCCACCAGGATGTTCGCTCTCTGCTCTTCATTCTTCGTCAATGTGGACCATCTTTGCTCTCTCTCCGCTTCTCCCTACAGATCTCCGTCCTGGCGTTTCCACTCTGATTGTTGGCTGCTCCGGTTGCGATATCTCGGAGGATGGAAGACCGAGCTGTTCTGATAAGGCCCGATTTGTTTGGGAATTAGATCATTTGCTCCGCTTCCCGATTGTTAGTCTCAATTAACCTCTTTCCTCATCAAGTACGGTCGCGTGTTGTTGTTGTTGTTGTTTTTGCTGCTGTCCGGTTCTTTTTCTTTATCCGAAACAGATAGGCAGAGACAGAGGCAGACAAGCAGACAGGCAGACAGATAGAAAAGGCAGACCGACAGGCAGACCGACCGATAGAGAGAAGAGAAGACAAGAGTTTGCTTGCTGCCGAGGCCGTCAGGTGGTCCCGGCCCCATCAAAGTCAGGATCATCATCCATCACTCCTCATCCGATCCGCAAAGTAACAAGCACAAAGCACAAAAGCACAAGCAAAGCAATCAAGCAAGCAGCGCAATAGACTCAGTGCGCGGCCAAGAAAAAAAACATCATCTTCTTTCTCTTTTTTTGCCTGTCACTTTTTCTTCCCTTTTACATCATTTTTCCCTTTCCCAACATCCATCCCCCTCAACCTCTCTCTCCACCCTTCACACCTCTTCCTCCTCCTCCCCTTTACTCACTTGCCCTTCCGATCTCTTTCGTTTGCTTCCATTCTCTTCTTCTCTCCCTCCTCTCTTCTTTCCTTTCCTCTCTCTCTCTCTCTCTCTCTCTCCCTTTCGGCTCCCCCTCCCCCCAATCCTCCTCCTCCACATCACATCATATCATATCATTCCTCCCTTCCTCTCCTTCCCACCCTCCCCTTGTTTTCTTTTTTTCTTATTTTATTTTAACCTTTCCCGCTTTTTTTCCCATTCCCCACTTCTTTCCCTTCCCTTCCGCACATCCCTCCGTCCAATCTGGACCAAGCCGCGGCCTTTTCTTATCATTCTCTCCGCCTTCCTTTCCGTTGGGGCTCTCCTCGCGCCCGGAACACTCGTTCCTGAGTTGTCCCGGAGTGACGAGACGCCACCTCTCCGTTTTGCCGGATCATGGCCTTGGAGGTGCAACCACCCAGCGATCGCAAGCGGGTGAAGGTATACGAACTCAGAGATAATGACTGGTTCGATCGAGGCACCGGCTTCTGCACCGGTCAGATTCTGGATGTAAGTCGTGCTGCTCGCCTGCTGTCCGTCGCGCGACTGCTGCGTCGCCCGCTCATCGGGCGCAAACGCAACCGCGACCGTTGGGCGCGCGCTCTCGCTCGTCCTGCGATTTTCTCCTCGCTCATCGCTAACAAGCCATCGCTCTTCTTAGGATGAGCCGCGAATATTCGTCGAGTCGGAAGATGAGCCTAACCGGGTGCTGCTGGAGACCAAGATCTCCAAGGATGACGGCTACCAAAAGCAACAAGGTGCCCCCCCCCTCCTGCGCGCTCCCTGCCATTGCGCACGCGACAAGTCGTACAAGAATCATCACTGACCCTCACGCGACATCATCAGAGACATTGATCGTATGGACCGAACCCAATGGAACGGACATGGCCCTCAGTTTTCAGGAAGCTGAAGGCTGCGCCGTCATCTGGTAAGGCGCATCGACCCGGCTCCGGCATTGTGAAAAATGAGTCAATCCGGAAGCTGACTGATGTTTCAGGGAATTTGTCAACAATGTACAGCAACATCTGCTCAGTTTAGCACCGGGAGGTTAGATGCACTTTAATTCCGGCTTTCGCCGCGGTGATAGCACCCGATAGACTTGCTTGCTGACCTGGTCGCTGCGTTCTGCCTAGAAGATGCCTTGTCCGACGAGATTGAAAGCTATCAGTCGATCATGCTCCCTGCACCCGAGCTAGGAAATCTCCCTGAAATCGACCATATCATGAGAACCTCAAGCATCACCCAGGCCGGTCGCGATGCGCTATCGAAGCTAGTCATTCGTGATGAGTATATTCCGAAATTGATCCCTCTGGTCTCGATGGCCGAAGATCTGGAGAGTCTTCCGGACTTACATCGCTTGTGCAACATCATGAAGTCGCTTATTCTCCTCAACGATAACACAATCATTGAGACCGTGGTTACGGACCCTGTCATTTTGGGGGTCGTTGGAGCATTGGAATGTATGCATACCCGGGCAAGTGTTTCGCACGGCGCAGGTGGCTAACGGACTACAGACGACCCCGAGTTCCCTACCCACAAGGCCAACCATCGGCAATATCTCGCCGACCAGACGCGTTATAAAGAAGTGGTGCCCATTAAGGACCCTCTCATTCGCCGCAAGATTCGATACACCTGGCGCCTACAGTACCTGAAAGACGTGGTTCTGGCTAGGATCCTAGATGATCCTACGTTCTCGGTGCTAAACTCCTTGATCTTCTTCAATCAGGTGGAGATCGTAAACCATATACAGTCCAATGCCCCCTTCTTGAAAGAGCTATTCACAGTCTTTGATCCCAGAAACGCCGACAACAAGCGCAAGGAAGATGCAGTGCAATTTCTTCATCAATGCGCAGTCATCGCAAAGAATTTGCAGGCGCCGGCGCGTGCTAACCTTTTTGCGAATTTCATCAACCATGGCCTTTTCGCCGTCATTGCTTTTGCCATTAAACACCCCAAGCCGCCCTTGCGCACCACTGGAATTGATCTCTTGGTGTCTCTCCTTGACCACGATCCGATCATGATGCGCGGATATATGCTCAAGGCTGTCAACGAAAAGAAAACGCCCCTTACAGATACCTTGATCGACCTGCTGCATACGGAATCTGACCTCGGAGTCAAGAATCAGCTTGCCGACGCGATCAAAGTATTGCTGGATCCACAAATTCCGATGCAGGACGCCATGGGTCGGGCTGGACCCGAGCACTTCAACAAACCCCGCAATATCTTTTCGGATACTTTTGTTCAGAACCATTTCGACGAGTCTGCGAAGCGGCTATTCTGGCCTCTGAAGCGACTCGAGAACCGCGACAATCGTAAGCTTCCCTTGCATCGGTCGGATGCATTCGTGCTGTTGTTTGATCCTCCAGCTGACCGTTGTGCTACCTTTCTCAGTCAATGACCTCACATTCCAAGATGTAACGCTGTATTCACATCTTGTCGATATTCTTACCTTTTTCGTGCGCCAGCATTTGTACCGGACGCGAACTGTCATTCACAACGAATCCCTTGCCCCTCGAGTTGCGCAACTGCTCACCGTGCCTCAAAAGCATCTCAAACTGAGTAGGCCGCCACTATTGTCTTGCCGTTCGCATGGAAGCTAACCCGCTTTTTGTAGCTGCTTTGAAGTTCTTCCGCACCTTGATCAGCCTTCAAGACACCTTCTACCAAGCTATGATGACGCGCAACAACACGTTCGGTCTGATCCTCGACATTGTCTACCAATCTATGCCACGTGATAACCTTTTAAACTCGGCGTGCCTCGAACTGTTTGAATTCATCAAGCGCGAGAATATCAAACCCATCGTCCTTCATCTGGTCGAGAAGTACGGCGAGCAGATCAAGAACATCACCTATGTGGATACGTTCCAGTCCTTGTACTTGCGCTACGAGCAATTGCAGGGCTATGACAACGAGGCGGACTCCACTCTGTATTCTCAGGAAGAAGAACTACCGAGCCAAAAGATGCAGGCTAATGGGTCGCGCTGGCAAGGCGTGAAGGAGATGGATGCTGCAGAAGAGGAGTACTTCAATACTTCAGACGATGAGGAGCAGGTAAGTCGTTCGATCGAGAATGAGAGACAGACTTGAAGACTAACCATGTATCGCAGTGGCAACAGGATCCTCAATCGAACACGGCAGGTCCCCCACTGACACTGAATGGCGTGGCCTCGCCTGTAGTGAAGCCCCTGGTCGATTATCCTGATGATGACGACGAAGACGATGCGATGGATGCCAAGCCTGAAGACCAGACACAGCCAAAACAAGAGTCGTCATCACAGGAGGCAACCGGTCGAGACACTGTTATGGGCTCGTCTGAGGATTCACCCTCCACTCCTGTCTCACTGACGGTACAGACTCCACCAGAAAGACTATCCGAGAAACGCCGGCGCGAGGAGGAAGATGATGACGAGCTGATGAAGCTTTCGACCGGCCCCAAGCGAAGAAGCTCAACGAACGCAGGCTCGGGGAGCGCAGGGCTGCTGCGCCGGAAACGAAGCGTGTCCATAGGCTCTCTTGGTTCAAACGAAAACAGCCCAACTCTAGGCAACACTACCACCAGCGCAGCACCAAAACGGATCGCCATCAACTTGAGCTCGGCGACAGTCAAATCCACGGACATTGCGGCAGAAAAGCCCAACAACGAAAAGGAGAACCGAGAGGAGAGTCACGACAGCCAAGGTGGATGACCTCATGGTGTCCACCATTACCTGATCTCTGTCTTGTGAAGGCCCGTCTCTAACAAGCCGAGCTAACTTCAATCTTCCTTGTGTTATCTTTCCTCAGAGTTCTCAAATACTCCGTGTTTGTTTTACGACAGCCTTCTAGATACCAGATGAAGTGATGTGTTTTCTATCATTGTTGCCGATGGACCGGACGCATTCTTTTCTGTACGATTCCCTCTTTGTTCCTGGATGGTTTTTTCTTCTTAGATGTCCGGTTCGCTCAGTTGTTTGGTCGAGATGATGTACATTTACAGCACTTTTTTCTCTTCTCTTTGCTTTCACTCGGGGTTTCAGGGGGCTCTGGACGGGGGGCGGAGTCAGGCTTGTTGGATGGGCGGTATGGGCTAGGACCAGACGGGATAGCATTTACGAAAAGACTTCGACTGCACATACTTTACATGCGCAATGTCAAGCGATTTTGATCCTGGCCGAGATGGTTGGAAACTGTAGATTCATCGTATACCTCCAGTATAAGATTGGGGTGCTGCTGAGCCTGGCCATCCTCGGCTTGCGGGAAAAGAGTACATCCGCCGCTGTCTCCCGCGGCCGCCGATGCAACGACGCAGACAAGACGTTAAGAAGTGTATAAGTGAACTGTTTTGCTGCAATTCCCGTTTGCTTACCCAATTGGGGTGCCGCCGCTTTTATGAGGACAGCACGTGAACGATCTGTGTGCGCTCTGGGACACTCACGGATTGCTCACGGAGCACGCACCTGGGAACTCCGGTCGCTCCCGGATTGCTCTGGCTCACTCAGTCAGCGATCCTGAGCAGCTCCTGCTTGCTCACTGCGGTAACCCACGTGACTAGAACAGGCTCTCTAAACCGTGCGCGACTAACGCTTATCGAAATCTGAGGTACTGATACAAACCTACGACATTTGAGGGCATCATCAAAACAAGGGCCGTCAGCTTCTCTTGGTTTTCCGACCCAAAATATTTTCAACACCGATCATCTTCTCATTGCAAATGGATAGATTAATGATGGACAAATGGTGACACATGACCTAAGGTATTTCTCTTTCATTTCGGACATAAATAGAGCCCATCTCACCCGAGTTTGTCAGTCATCAATCTATTCTCTCATACATTTTCTATCATATCTCTCTATACCTCACTCTTTATTTGGTCTTTCAATCTCATTCGTGTTTACTGACAATGGCCGTTCACACCTCTACTTCTAGAGCCAACCAAAATGAGGAAAAAAGGAAGGCTCGTCGTGAACTCCGCCAAAAGCGAAGCTACGATGCGGATATTCATCGAGTAAAGGATGCCCAAAGGTCGGGAGGTAGAGCTTCCCCGCAAACGAAAGAAGGCTACATTGAAAAGGTACGCCATTATGAAGAGTAAGTCATCAATCTTGAGTTCTAGGACATCGAGTCTTCTCACATTTTTATAGATTTTTAAAGGAAGAGAAGGGATTACCCGAAGACTATAAGGTTGAAGTTGGACATCGAGTGCCGGGTTTAGAAGAGCTCAAAGAATTTATTCGCTGGCATGTCGACTCAACTGTGGGTAGACTTGACCCTGACGGACGTCCGACCATGAACTCAACCTTAGTCTGGGCTCAAGAGTTTGTTCCGGGATTTTATCTCGAGACTAAGAAAGAGATCCCTTACCAGGACAGACAGGACCTGTACAGCGTAAGTATACTTCATACTGGAAAGAAGTATGTGAGAGCTGTATGATTGACTCTTGATAGTGGATTGAGCATGATTTAGTCGCAGAGGGGTACATCAAGAACATAAAAAGACCCAAGCATAATTTCAAGCTTAAAAGTTTTGAGCGTGCTATGGTCGCTTTCTGGACCATTGATGACCCATTTTTCATGACTGGAAGATACCGTGTCCAGTTTCATTTTATAACTCTGCAGAATCTGTGTGTAGGGTCCAGAGTGTCCTCTTTGACTCCAGCATCCGAAAACAAAGCCGGCAGGGGTCTTCGTTATAAGGTAAATCTGAGCACAGTATTATTTAATTAGCTGCTGACGATGACAGAATATTGAACTTGTCTTGTTCCGCGACACAGAGGCCCCTTGGAGAATCGGGTGGCGTCTGGATCAACAATTCGTCAAGAACAACAAAGACCCTGAGAACACCATGTGAGTAGCGCGCGCGAGCACCCCTGCAGAGATACGAGCACAGACTGATGCCAATAGATTTGGTACCGCTATTTGGGACTGTGATGAACCGATTTACTCTGGGGCACTATATCTTCTAGGCATGGCCCTTGCCGACAATGCTCTTTTTGGGTTCTCAAGCGCAGCAGAAGTTTTTGAGCAGAGGATCCCAGAGGGGGAGGACGAACTAATTCTCCGGTGGAATGACGAGGCTAGGGATCGATGTATTGTGAGGGGTACCTCGGCAAATGGAGTCAGCGAAGACCCATGGACGAAAGAAAGATATCAAGAAGGTTTAAGAAGATGCCTTGCCAATGCTGGCTATTTCGTTACTGCCACAATTCATGCCATGCGCCGTGAGTTAGGGAAGGCTGTCCGAGGTAGGTCATTGCAGTCTTTGACCATGATCTGCCTCCTGAGTCTAGCTAATACTTCTCGCAGCTAAGTATTCTTCGACACTTGTGGCTCAGATTCTCACGCATAAGTCAAAATCTGTCTACGGCAACGACTACCTTGGGAATTGCTCCAGCGTGGATGTCGTCAATTCCTTGAAAGGCAGACCCTTGGATCATACTCACGTGGACTATTTTCAAGGCTTTGAGCGGTTCCACGAAAACGGGCTCATTCGTCGATTACCTATAGAAGAGGAACAGAAGATTGACGAAGACCCAAGTCTCACTGAGATCAGCGCAAAAATTGAAGGTACGCAGTCAGCGGACGAAAGCAGAAGGCTGCGACGTGAATATAGCATCCAGAGGAGAAAGATCTATTCGAAAGCGTTCCAGCAATACCAAAGTGACTGGGTCCGAAATCGACGCGACTGGAAGATTCTGACCAGGGGCCGTGAACGCCCTAATTATATCGAGCAGGCAGCGGAGAAACAAGTACTGTGCAAGCTTATGCCGGAACTGGGTCGTCTGGCGGCGGTAATCTCCTCCAATCAGAGTCTTTCGTTCGACGAAAAAGCCAGTGTTGTCCACGACATTCATACGCACTGCCTTCGTGAGCTCGATGTGGTCTATCTCCCTGACGAGGAACCACAGGAAGGACGATGCCAGTTGCCCACTTGTGGTGAATCCATGGAACAGTGAGCTGCTCTCCAATACTCAAACAAATCCTCTGCTAATGAGCCATAGTATGGAGAAGCCCAACCGGAATACGCATCTCCACAAGTGTCGTCTACAACATTTTGCTTCTAGACGAAACTTATCGCCTCAACAAGTTAAGTATTGCTGGGAATGCTACACTTGTCATGATGGAAAAAGTAGTGAGTTTGAAGAGCACTGTGCTGGCCATCTTCCTTTAATGACCAGCCAACACTACGAGGTAATGAAATATCGCCATGCTACTATCCGTGCTGGCTACTGCATTGAATGCATGTGGAATGATGGGCTCTCTGCTGTATGCAGAATGAGAGCCTTTACCCGAAGCACGGAGCTTCGAAGCCACATGGAAGAGCATCTGGTTCAGAAATCATGGCCTTCGGAATGCCCCGATCCTTCCTGTAACCACATTTCTAAGGAAGAGCAAGATTATCGCCGACACCTTCACGACGTGCACCATTATCACAAAGCGATGTGTGTGGCATCCAAGGAGGCTCACAAGAAACGATCGTCCGCTATGCTAGACGAGAAGATAGCCTCGGACTGTACTCAGCCGATGCAACACAAACATCCACGCAAGCGTCGCAAGAACGCTCCCGAATCACCACCATGTGGACCGAAGGAGTTGAAAATCAAGTTCTGGCAGCCTTCCACAATGCCCACAGAGCCCATGTTTCCAGTTGAAACTGGGATGCATGAAATTATGCAGGAGAGACCACAAGTATCGGCATGGCAGATTGAGAACTGCGAAAGCACAATTACGTTGGATGAAGGTCAGAATAGCGCGGTTGTCCCGTCGGTCATACCTGACACTCCAGGTCTTACAGATGATAGCAGCACGTGCTCAAGTCCTTCCGCAGTGTGTTCAACTTCTAGTGCACTTAATATCGACCCACAGCTATTAGAAGTATCTCAGCCCTTCTTGTCCCAGCCAAATGAGAAGACTGATCAATCTGATGCGTGTACCTACTGGGAGCAGGAAGAGCGTCAGGTCGAGATCGAGCAGCTTGAGATTGAGGACTTGCATCAAATCATCGATAATACGATGGAGCAGGAACTCCCTGGTGAAGATGTGGCTTTACCCAGCATGGACATCATATCCATCAAACAGACATCGTCTTCTTTAACTAAGCCGTCTGAAGAGTCTGCCTCCTACTTGGATCTCAGTGCATCTATTCCCCAAGTGGAAGCGGATCTTGTGCAAGGCGACTCCAGCATGTGCCCTGCGGAAAGTAGCACAGTGGAGGAATGGGAACGAACAGGGCCTGTGACCAGAGCGAAAGCTCGCGAGCAAGCCGCCAAATCCCCTCAGAGACCAACAAATCTACACAGCTCGAGGCGCAAAGTTATGCCTTACAGTCGAGAAGAGGACGAGCTACTTAATTTGCTCATGAGAGAGTTAGCTGCTTTCGACGCGGTGACCCTAGCCTTCCAAAAGCGTTTCCCGAACCGATCAGCGAGTTCGCTCCGAAAACGCTGGTCTCTTATACAACCGTCGTCACGGCGGTCGACTCGATCAAGAATATAGGAACAGCCGCAAGGCTGTCATTAGAACGTATATAGAACATGTATAATAAACCTTCACATTGATATCGATCAAAGAATGTAGAACTTTGCTCGCCGCCAGCGTCAATTGTCATCATATAAACTTACTACGAAAGCTTCAAGGTCCTTTCACTCCATTATACGAGGACGGGACACATTGCCATTATCTTTATAAGCTCTAGTCTCGTGACCTAAATGTTGAAAAGAACGAGCTCAAGGGTGACAATTATGAAAATGGGCTTTGGATTATACGAGTTGGAGGCGATTTTCATAAGCCGTCTTGCATCCTATGTTTTTCCGGCAGAAATTAGAATTTTTACGTCATAAATAATGCCGGCAGAAAATTACTCTGTACTCTTTCGGCTCCGCGGGGAAACCAAAAATTTTACCTACAAGATTGTGCCGGCAGAAAACTCGACCATGCATACGATAGGATATTCTGCTGGCATAAAAAGAGCACGCGTTACACTCCATATTCCTCCGGTACAGTAATTTACACATCTGACGGTTACGATACGTGAGCAGCACAGCCATAACCCCCTGCTGTTAGAGCGGATGTCTTCTTACATATACATGTTAGCTGTATTTTAACATTCCGAAAGTCAAATAATTCGTGTTATGTGTAAGGACCCATATCGCCTCTTACTATCAGTTCTCATGCTGACTCACTGACGCATTCTCTTCTCTGCACGCAATGCATAAACTGCGACTCAAAGTCTCTCATCGTTCGGACTTCGGACTACTCTATAAGCGCACATCAGGGTGGCTATTTTCCTCGCTCTCTCCGTTCCGTAGCCTGAGTCTAGCTTCACAAAGACAGAGACCTCCCACATCCATTATGGAAACTTGCATTTCCTGCTACTACAAAAATGCTCATATCAGCCTCGCTGCATTCAATCAACGAAGCTTCGGTGAACGTATTGTAGACAAATTAGCGCTGTCGTCGAATTGCTCAAAGGAGTCGTCTCATAAAATTACTGATTGCCTGTCAAGTGCTCTGGTCGTTATTTTGAGGTATCATATTCGTGATATACGCCCATTGATGTCTTGGTCCACTGTTGGTGCTTCTGGTTATCAGTTAGGGTTTTGTCGATCGAAAGAGTTTCAAGACATGTCTACTGACCATCAGTATGTTGACTTCTAGAGTTTGTTGCGGCAATTCAGTCAATGCCGCGGAAGAACATGTTAATAGCGGCCTTGAGACGACCGGGCCGTGCGCGGAAGCTCAAGCAGCGAGGGAGCCGACCAAGGTACCACCACCCTGAGATAGTCAGCCGCGGACATCTTCCCAGTAGCTGTATGTATTGGCGAATCAAACTAATATCCTAAACCAACAAATCTCCTAATCGGACGCTCGCATGTACAGTACTCGCATACTCATCCTAGTAGTCACTTTTTAGAACCAGGACGTTTTGTAACCACCGACCGACCCATCCGCTCCAAGCACTTATTGATGCAGCAAACAATAACAGAGGAAAGATAGTCCGTACCTACAGGTTTTTCAACTGCCTACATCAATCGGCATCGGTACTGCCAAGTTCTTTACCTCAGCAAAAATCATTCCCCATACTGACGTGAAGAGGCTCCCGCGCTGCGATTGTCTCCGGTTCGTACTAACATTGACCAGGAAGGCCTAAATCATTACTATAGCATGGTTACTAGACTGATCATTCTTGCTTTCCAGTATCTATGACTGCTCTTTATAACCATTATTGACCAGTCTTGCTGGCTACTAGAAGCAACTCTAGATAATCACTGATTCATTCATCATTCGATTCATCGACGAGGTCTTCGGCCATTCTATTCCACGTTCTTCCTCGGTCATAGCGACACACTAGCTCAACGGCGCGTAGAGATTTAGATTTCTCTCTTGCTGAAATGCTCCGACTACATCCTCTTCGCCAAAATCATGATCCCTGGCATCACCAGCACCGCTTCTTTTCCACCTGGTAGGCTTCCACACTCCCGATGAACCTCTGTCCTACTAGTAGTCTGTTCTTGATGATCCATTCGGCTGCCTCAGGTGTATTCAGCCAGATTCCTATGGATGTCGAATTGCCTAGTGGTCTATATTCCTTCTTCAGCTATGCAATTCTTCGATCTGAAATGTCTTGTCGTCAAGGTCGTTCTCGGTCGCGATCTTTCTTATCCCTTGCTTCTTTTTGCTCTGCCAGTTCGAATTCTTCAGTTGGAACACGGTGGAACACAACTCTAAAACGTGGTTTTACCACTTGAGTATTGTTTCCCAACTCTTCCAGTCACTGAGTGTCATTCTGAGCAGCCTCCGTGGCCCACGCATCCTGAAATCGAATAATATAGCCGGTCTTGGTGGTACCGACATCAGCAACACGAACCCCTTAGGTAGTCTCTGCTTTAGGAGGGCGGTGCGGATATGGGTGTTTTGCTGCTTCTGATGGTAAGTCTCTCGAGAAACGGTTGTTATCGACATCCTGGTCTAGGGTGGGTGCGGTGCTGATTCGGATACAGTTGGGCTCGTTTCTGGGGCGCAAGACTGTCATCTTGGGGTCAGGTAATGGGTTGTGTAACCACATGTAACTAATGGCCCGAGTGCTAGAATTTCGGCCTGAAGTGGGATGGTCATGTGACCAGATGCGCCCCGCCTTTGTTCTTCAACTTTCTACGGCCTCGCGAGTCTCTGAAGATACCATAGACATAGTGCTCTACTACAATAGCATCACAGTCGCAATACTGACCAGAAGTCGATTTATTGAGGACCATCGGGAAATTCGGAATTACCTCGAGCGTACTGACGTCTTCTTGACTGGTGCATGCTCGCGTCTCCCATGGTAAGTTGATATCAAGTGGTTTTGTTCGTTGCCTAACATTATACCAGGGATTTATTTACTTCGACCTAGAGCCTTTGGACACAGCGCCCGATTTCTTCGACGATGTTGCCGAAAACAAAGTGCTAGTCGTGGATGGGACAGAAAGAATGCAGACAGTCTACTGGCAAAACAGCTTCGTCACTGTTTCCGAAATCGATGACAGTGGTCGAGAAATAAAAACCAAAATCACTGCAACTAAGTCTGGAAAAGGAAAATTGAAGCCAAAGGTCAGCCTGTATATCACCGACGGAAAGGTCAAAGTGGTCGATTCTTAAATATATAACATTTTGGCTATTTGAACGGCACGCGATGGGTTAAGGGCAACCTCGCAACTCGCATCCTGCCCCCGGACAGTCATAGATACACTCTCAAACTTCTCTTCTGCCGAGCTGCCTTGCTGGTAGTCATTCAAGGCTTCTAGTATTCTTGAGCCCAAGACCTTTATAATAGCTTGCTGCTTGGCCCCCTTCAGCGTGATATCTGTGGCAGGCAGAATCAAACTAAGTCCATCTGTGGTCATGATGTGCCTATTGTGTCCGACCAGTTCGCAGGTGATTCCAAAAAGAGCCATAGCAAGATCATTTGCTCCCTTCGCTATGTCAATGATCAGAGTACAGGTGCTCTCATTCCAACGAGGAAATGTCATTGTCACAGCTGCTCCAGAAATGAACTGTTCCTTGATCCGAATCGAGGTTCGTCTAATCATGTCACAGAAATCCGTTTCGAATACGGCTGCAATGCCCTTTAGTGACGCATGTTCATAACTTATAGCGTTTTCAATATTCAGCACTGGCCCATTCTTCTCCTGCTCCAGTTTTTTTAATAGCAAGGACCACTGATGCTCATTCATATCAACTATCATTGACTGAGTAAGATTGGTGGAGCACAGACGTACGGCGCGTTCTCCATTCGGACAGCACGTTGCATGTATCTCATATAGACGTCTGTTTAACTTCTTTCGCTTCTCAATTCCGCGTTGAGATACAGCTTCTTTGCTTGGTTTGTCGCTATTTCGTTTATGTCGGTATCGAACGTAGCCCACGCTCCTAATCATATCCCATGCTTCTTCATGAGAAAGTGCCCGTCGAGCAGTTTTTTGTGGGCCCATAACAAGTGTTAAGAGGGAGGAATCACGAGAAGAAAATGGAGAGAGAAAACCGAGTGAGGAATTGGAGGGAGAAAATGGAGGGAGAAAACCGAGTGAGGAATTGGAGGGAGAAAGTGGAGGGAGAAAATGGA